TGTCACCTAGCCTGTTAAAGGCTAAGGCTTTTCCACGCGCTGGGGTTAGTCCAGCTCGAAGCGGGGAAGCAGGGTGGGAGTGGGACGATGTCGTGGCCTGGGGTACCACCCCCTCATCGTTGCCTAGCCTAACGGCCAATGGCTGGGGTTGAGGAGGCAACGTCGTGTTCTCCCCCATCTTTGGCATGAGTGCGCTGAGGACGGTGGGATTCTGGGCCAAGCTGGCGATGATGGCCGAGAATGCGGCCTGAAGCTGAGGGTCAACAACAGGAGAGGCCGGTTGCGCCAAGGCATTGTCGCCCTTTTCCGCGCGCTTCTTGTCCAAGTCGATGCGGGTGTCGGGGGCGCCGCCATTGAGCTTGTTGCGCAGGTCTCCTGCGAGGTCGATGGCTTCCTGGAAGACATCCCCCTCGGCGGCCTTGTCGGTCGTAGCGTCCTCCTCGTGCTCTTGGTTCTCCTGTGCCTCAGGGATGGCCTTGCTGAGGAGGTTATGGTTTGACTTAGTTTTTCCCATTGTCAGTTAGATGTGCTTGGTAGCGACGAAGGAGGCTAACCTGATTGTTCTAGCTCTTAATGAGAGCACCAAATGATAGACTATAAGTCTAGAGAGAAGTGGGAGCTAGAGAGAGAAGTGGTATAATTACTCTGTATTATAGATTTGTGAACCCCTACAACTACTCTCAGAGGGAGTATTTATAGGAAAAAATAGGACTGAGCTCCCAAGTCTTGGGCTAGGGAGGCCCATTTACAATATGGCCACTAATGGGTCGGGTACAAAGTGTATAGAAATGATTAAATATGAAATCCTATTCTGGAGGCTATTCATGGCCGACGAAGGCATGACCGACGAAGACCCGGCCGATGAGGTCACCCGGTTCTCCTAGCTTCTGGATCACATTCTGAGTAGATTTCTTTCTGGCCGATGGGGGTCATCTGACCGACGAGGGTCCCACCAGGTGGTCGTGGTGCCTTCTGTTCTTCTGAGTATGTGGGCCCGGGGGTCCAGGCCCATATACTCCATCATGTTCCAAAATGTTGAATCCCCAACTCCAAGGACCCCAAGACTTGTCCTGACAAGACATTTAAGAGGTTGTAAGTCATACCAATAGTGGTAGGGCGTGTACCAATAGTGGTAGACCTTTTACGCATGCGCACTGCCACAAATCTTCCCCTGTGACAGCACCCAGAGGTCCATCATATAGGAGTTGTGATCCCTACACAGTCGCTGCGAGTTTCGATTATTAATTATTGTTCCAATTTTGCATCAGTCAATCAACTAAGCTACCCGCTCAATATCAAGAGGTGTATAGAGTGTAGGGTGTGTACATTTTTTAGTATAAATAACATTTTCGACACTCCCTCCGTCCCTTATAACTTTGCCAAGTTTGACCGACACGAGGATTAATAATAAAAAAATGTGTTGTTGAAGTTTGTGCAGAGGAGAGAGAATTAACTGGAACCACAAATATTCTTTACTTAAAAGAGAAAGTGACAAACTTAGTGGAACATCAAAAAAAGAAAAGTTGACAAAGTTTTAAGGGACGAGGGAGCAGTGCTTATACCGTGGAACCGGTGCATGGTGAGCACCATGCACCATTTGTTATTTTTTATTTCTCCTTTTCTTAAAATTGTTAATAATTTTTTTTATTTTTGATCCGATTTTTATAAAATTTATATCAATTTTTTTTTTTGTTTTTCATGATCTTTCAAATGAGACCAATATTGCCTATGTAATTTTAATTTTTTACATTCATACATTTTCTTGTAATATATTTTTATATGCATACACTTTTTCTATAATATATTTTTTTTATCACTTTTATATGTTTTTAGAGGTTTTTAAGATATTGAGTTTGTTTATTTTGCTTCTAGCTTGGAGTTACATTTGATAATATACGAAGTTACATCATCTTATACTCCAGTTACAAGTTATTATGTGTGAGTTACATTTGGTCCAAAAGGTGGAATCTCCCACCCAGGAGCCCCCCATACCCCGACCCGACAGGATTTTTGGGAGGATGTTAATCACGGTGACTCAGTCGGCCCAATGATGGTAGGCCTTTTTCCCGTGCGCACCAGAGGTCCAGCCTTATTTCAGGTTCTGTGACCTCCACACGGCCGCTGCGGGTTTCGAACCTTGGTCACTTGGTCCAAATTTCCCACCACTGAACCAACTGAGATGTGTGAGTTACATCTTGTTATGTGTGAGTTACATCTTGTTATACACGAGTTACATACTTTTATGCGCGAGTTACATGTAATTATGTGTGAGTTACATCTTGTTATGTGTGAGTTACATCTTGTTATACACGAGTTACATACTTTTATGCGCGAGTTACATGAAATTATGTGTGAGTTATATCTAATTATTTGTGATTTTTTACTTATCTTTATCTTGAACTAATTCAATTATAACTGAATTAATTTTTTTCTTTGCCAATTTAATACAAAATTTTATTAATCCACATAAAATAAGTATATTGTATTTCATATTCATACACTATTTTTCAAATGATAAAAATGAAAGATGTAGCAGAGGTTTATTTCATGCTGTAACTCACATAAATTAAGATGTAACTCGTGTATATTAAGATGTAACTCGCGTACAATAAGATGTAACTCACGCAGAAGAAGATGTAACTTCATGATATATTATCAAATGTAACTTTAAAATAATTTTTTAAAATTACATAAGCAATATTGGTCTCATTTGATAGATCATGAAAAATAAAAAAATTTGATATAAAATTTATAAAAATCAGATACAACAACAACAACAACAACATCCAAGCCTTAGTCCCAAAAGATATTGGGGTCGGCTAACATGATATCACAACCAAAAGGAAAAGAAGGAATAAAGATAAAAAGATAAGCTATTATGAAAAGATAATATAAAAAAGATGAATATATATAAAAATGATAAAATAAAAAGGCTGAAAATAATGCATATATATATAAGGATAAAAAAAAACTAGGAAAAAAAAGATGAAGGAAAAAGATTATCAAGATCATTCCTTCACGTGAATACCCGCCCTCCACTTAGTTCTCTCCAAAGTCATGTCCTCATCCAATCCCAGAAGAAGCATATCACTTCGAACTCCCCTAACCCACGTATGTTTGGGTCTTCCTCTCCCTCTCTTCCTTGCCTCTTCTCCACACATCTCAACTCGCCTAACAGGTGCATCACTCGGTCTTCTATGCACATGACCAAACCACCGTAGGCGCGACTCCCGCATCTTGTCTTCAATAGGTGCTACTCCCACCCTTTGTCTGATTGTCTCATTCCTCATGCGGTCCTTCCTAGTATGCCCACACATCCAACGCAACATGCGCATCTCTGCCACACTCATCTTTCGAATGTGACATTGTTTCACCGCCCAACACTCTACGCCATACAGTAATGCAGGCCTAATTGCTGTCCTATAAAATTTACCCTTCAGTCTAGTCGGCATACCTCAGTCGCATAGAAATCCTGACGCACTCTTCCACTTCATCCACCCTATTCTGATTCTATGGGATACATCTCCATCTAACTCACCGTCCTTCTGAATTATGGAGCCCAAGTAACGGAACATATCGCTGACTGGTATCTCCTTACCATCCAGAGTAATTCCGCTATTACCACTACTTCTACCTCCACCAAACTTGCACTCCATGTACTCTGTCTTGTTCCGACTTAGTTTGAAACCCTTATTCTCCAATGTTTGTCGCCATACTTCCAACTTTGCTTTAAGACATGATTGCGTCTCATCAATCAATATAATATCGTCGACAAACATCATGCACCACGGTATATCGTCTTGAATTGACTTCGTAAGTTCATCCATGACTATGGCAAATAAGAAAGGACTCAAGGCCGATCCTTGGTGCACTCCGATAGTAATAGGGAACTCTTCAGTCCTCCCTACACTAGTACGAACACTTGTAGTACAATCCTCATACATATCCATGATGATGCTGATATACTTGCGTGATATGCCTTTCCTAGTTAAGGCCCACCAAAGAACTTCTCGAGGTACCCTATCATATGCCTTTTCTAAGTCAATGAACACCAAATGCAGATCCTTATGAGCATCTCTATACTTCTCCATAAGTTGACGAAGAAGGTGAATAGCCTCAATTGTTGAGCGACCAGGCATAAAACCGAATTGATTCTCTGAAATCTTCACAGTCCTTCGAAGTCTTTGCTCAATCACTCGCTCCCAAAGTTTCATGGTGTGACTCATAAGCTTAATCCCTCGATAGTTGGCACATTCTTGTACATCACCTTTATTCTTAAATAAAGGGATAAGAGTACTCTTCCTCCAACTCGTTGGCATCTTGTTGTTTCTCCAAATCATGTTGAAGAAACTTGTTAACCACTCGACGCCTCTCTCCCCCAAAATTCTCCAAGCCTCGATCGGTATGCTATCTGGCCCCATTGCTCTTTTCCCTCCCATCTTCCTCAGAGCTTCTTTAACTTTCGTTGTTTGGATCCTTCTCACAAAATCACGGTTAACCATACAATCTGATATGGACAAATCGCCGATATCTTGCGTTTTGTTCCCGTTGAATAGTGTGTCAAAGAAATCCTTCTCACAATTCAATAGTCTGATATGGACCTCCACCTCTCTTTTATCTCTCCGTCGTCCATTAATATCCTCTGATCAACATCCTTCACACACTTAACTGGATGTTGCGTCGTTTTGGGATATCAACATCCAAAATTTATAAAAATCAAATATCAAATAAAAAAATTATTACAATTTTTAACAATAAAAGAAATAAAAATTAATGGATGTTGCATCGTTTTGGGATAGGGCGCACCATCCTCATGGTATGCCAGAAGTATATATTTTCCCCTTAACAAACAAACGGGCAGACAAAACACTACCGGCTGCGGAGGTCCTCCGGTAGAACTCAAATCGAGAGTACAATTACGTGGCAGCGTGGGGTCGCAGGTTTAGGCGCCCCACTCAACTCGATAAAAAATTCTTCATGAAATTTCTAAAAGCCCTTAGCTTACTGAACTCGTTCTTCGACTCACTCATATACCACCCGGTCCAGATTTCAGGCGCTTCCCACAAAATTGATGCCGGCATCTGACGTCATGCTCCCCGGAGATGCGGCCTCCAAGTCACCCCTTGACAAACCTCTCCATCAGCTCACCGAAGATGACATTTCTCAGCTCACTCGCGAAGATTGCCGCCGTTACCTCAAAGAGAAAGGTACGTCTACACTATGTCCCTCTTTTACTGTTTGAAGCAAATTATTTTTCAGAAATTGATTATCGTCCCTGCCGAAAATTTCCGTATAGGTATGAGAAGGCCGTCGTGGAACAAATCACAGGCGATTCAACAAGTGATATCACTGAAGGCGCTCCTTGAACCGTCATCGGATTCTGATGTCGGCGGTAGCAAGTTGCTGCGCATTTCTCCCCCCGACACTGCCAATAATAACAAGGCGGCCCGTGTGCGTTTCAATAATCTTTCACAGCCTTTTTAGTTTTTTTGGCTCAGTTTGGTTTTTATAAGAAGATTGCTTGCTAGTTGCTACTTTATTCTTTTAATATTGTGCAAGAAGAAGTGCATAGTTTATTATTCTGCTAACTAGTAAAAGCAAAGCAGGTCCCGCAAGTAGTTGTTCCCGATGCAGAAGCATCTGAATCTACCGAAGAAGCTGTATGGAACCGTAAAAAAGATACAGAGAAGCCTAATGTTTCAGGTGATCCAGCAGCTCCTCCAGCAGCGGCTGTCAACATGTCAACTCCATCAAGGTTAACCTTCTCTTTCACATTTGACTTTTACTTTGTGCAAGTGGTTTCAATAATCTATTGAAATCTAGAATGGAGCAACCCTAATACTCTGTGTTTCCACTTCCTCACCTCGTGTTTTGATATACATTTGTTTAGCTCTGTGCAAATTTATCATCCTAGTAGGTTAGAATATGAAAGGCTGGTAGCCTGGGATCACAATATCACAGCATTACGCCATGTAGAATACTAGAATTACTTTTGCTCATCTGATGATTGTATGTTGAGAGTTCCGTATGTGCATGGAACGTAGTGCTTTTGGTGCATACCAGTTCAATGTTTGTATAGATTTCAACTAAACATGCATTAAGTTTATTTTGATATTGTTGGCACACAATAATGTCCACGCTGTATTGAGCGTGTCAATATGTTAGTCCCATACTGGTGTGCATCAAGTATCAGCCCATTGTGGTTGTGTGTGTTGTGCATCAAGTATCAGCCCATTGTGATTGCTGTGTGTGGTAAAAAACTACTCTCTTCAATGAGGGTATCTAGTGACGTAAGATGGGTACAAAAGGTTTAGTAGAACTGTAGAATATTTAAAATGTTAAAGTGCACATTTCATAATAGGATTAGTACATTATAGACTAAGCTTGTACTAAAAATATGTGAACACTCATAAGGCTGTAGGTCCACATTGTATAGCTGTCACGGGTTCAAAGCACATGAAAAATGGCAGCGTAGCATCATTAACAAGAATTTGTAATGTGATTTTGAAGAGTGGAGAACATATAATGCGTGTAAAAAAAGTACCCAGTGTCAATACATAGAATTAAGTACTGATCACTCATGGATTGAATAAATGAGCCATAGTATGAATCTATGAGAAAGGGTGATAAAGAAGAGATTAATGGAAAACACAAGAATGGCAAAGGATCAGTTTGGCTATACGTCTGTGAGATAAACAATGGAACCTATATTTTTTTAACTCATCATAGAAGCAGCATTAATTAAGTTGATGAAGGACATGATCACATGACAAAAGTGCTCTGACTTGTGTGCGTTCATATGTTTGGGTGCTGGGGCGGAGGTCAGTTTGTTCCCTCTTGCAATAGAAGTCCATTAATAATCTATCTCGAGTCCATATATAGTTTGTGCTAGTCATGGTCAAATTTACAAGCCGATTAAAGTTGAAGAACCTTGGTGCATCAGTGCATACTATTTTCCGTTGATACTGTTCTTGTAGATAAATTCTGAGAAGCTTTAAACAAAAAATTGGATTTTAGAGATCACTTTAACATCTTGGGACTCTAAGCAAACTAGCTAAGTAAATCTAAGATGGAGTCTACTGAATGTAGATTCAACAAAACTCATCTGTAGAGTACTAAGAGTGAAGTTAAAGATAAAATTAGAGTATTAGACTTCCAAAGAATACTTAGGCTCTTAAGCTCGACACTATGAGGAATCCAATTTTGACTTTAAGCATTTAATTGAGATAAGACACACGAGGTGAAGGAATGCATTAGGGATACTGTGTGGCTGAAAAATATCATTAAGCCAAAAGGAAAGTTCTAAACTATAGGTATTAAGCCTACTATGTTGTACCGCACGAAGTATTATCAGGTTAAGTATAACATGTTCACGAAATGCTGGTGACAGGGATGAGAGTGTTGATATAGATGTGTGGCATGGCCACATGGACAACAAGTTAGGCTGTTTGTGGGGAGAACTTGTGTAAACCTGCATATTCAACTTAAATCCTCTGAATTTTATACTTGAATTTTTAAAATTAAAACAATCTACTTTCCAGCATAATGCTACCCTTATTATCAGAGGACTTTGTTGTTAGTGTTAATTGTATTTTGCTTTTATTCTACATTATTAGAAGCAAATATCCTAATATTCTGGTATGTCTGGTGCATTTTTGTATTTTCTCATTTGTCTGAAAGAACCATCACATTGCATACCAAAGCATTATAGTTCTGGAAGTGGGCATTTAACTTTTTGGAGATAGAAACAACTTAAGAAAAAGACCGCACTACATCTGGACATCTGGTCATATAACAGATATTGCTAATGGCTTCACTTTACAGAATATCTGGTTCAGCGGATATTATGGTTGGACAAATGACAATCTTCTATTGCGGAAAAGTGAATGTCTATGATGATGTGCCTGCCGACAAGGTAGTGAAACTTCGTCAAATTGGGAATAATAAACCTAAATCATTCAAGATGTAGCATATATAACTTAAACTCATTTAGGTACAAGCAATCATGCATCTTGCTGGAAGCCCACCCCATGTGCCTCCTGACTGTTCAGCACAGCGTTTAGTCTCCCAATTACACCCTGCAAATGTTGAAGTAGGCCAAGACTCTCCTGCGGTGTTCTTGCCGCCAATGCAAACAGGTAATATTTACGTTTAAAAATAGCTGCATTTTTCCTGGGCCTATCCTTTATGACATTACAAATCGTCATTTTCTAGTCCATTTGTTTAAAATTAAATATTCAATGACCATTTCCTCCCTAAGATGTTCTGTATATAGTTGGAAACCCCACTCCATATTGGTATATTTTATACTTTGTTAACCGTTGTTTACCATTAATATTTACATTAAACTTTGCTGAACTGTTATACTTGATGCATTATGGATAAATATTAATTCAATCTTCAACAGGTAAAAAAAGTGAGAACTCCCGTGTGCAAATGGAAGATAACGGTCCATTTTATGAAGATAATCATGGTAAACTTTTTACAAGTCTTCTTTTTTTGTTTATTGCAACCTTAGCAAATTCATGGAATTGTTCAGATCGTTTTTTGTTTAATAAGAATCATAAGATACGTGGAACATTTGTCTCCTATCATAATCAGTTAATAACCTCAGCACCAACTTTGTGATATGAGCAAGTAAACCTGTTGTCATTCGTATTCTTACTATTATTATGACTATTATTACTACTATTATTATTATGGTTGTTGTTGTTATTAGGAAAAATTCACATTCATAATCTCAACTATTAGTGGTTTTCCAATATTAATCCCAAATATACATAATTCTAAAATAATCTGAAAATTATAAGGGGTCTTCTCAAGTTGATCTAGGTTACCTGCAACTTATTCAGCAGCTTAAAATGATAGGTTATAGACCAGTTTACAGTAATTTGAGAGAGCTAACTATGGAAGAAATCAAGATACGTAACAATGGAGGTGGTTCGTATAACAGAAAAGAGAGAGAGAAAATACAAGGCAGTTAAAGAGTGCCAACTCTCCAAGTCCCTAGCCCAAATGATAATTCCAGCCTCCTCAGCTCCTCTATTCTACGCTCCTTCCACTTTTTATAATATTCCTACCCTAAAGAGCTGGCCCAAGCAAGGCCCAAAACCCTCACTTGTACACTAACACTATTTATTATTATTCTATCATTAATCTTTTTTGTGCCGGGTCCCTATCATAAAATAATAATATGAGAAAGAAAAAAGCTGAACAGATTGTTCTTCTTGGCCGGCTCCTTCCACACGTTTTTCATTCTCACCTGCACATTCTGAATAGGCAGAATAACCATATTTTTTCATTCTTTTTTTCTTCTCTTATTTTCTCCCTCCACTGGAAATGGAAATCTCCTTTCCACCTATTTCTTTCTTATGGGCATCGACGGACGATGGTTGCCAACAAGGAAGCATGGAAAAGCATAAATTGGCCGCCCATGACGAGGGTTGTCTTCCCCGACGAATATCTGACCAATGCCTGCCGAATCTCCAATCACATACAACCTTTTTCGGTTGTTCCTCCTTCCTTGGGTGTCGACGGTTGTCGGCGAGAAAGTGAAAAATATAGCCGACTGAGATGAAATGACAGAGGACTTCATCCGCGTCATATCTCCCTTCAAGATAAATCACTAATAGCTGGATACTTTGGATTATTTCCTCGAGATTGAAGGATCAATTGATTTGGTGTTTTTATTGGTTGGAGAACAGTAGAACCATTTTAGTAAGGAAGACGAAGAACAATCTATGAACAGTAAAACCATTTGGCGGAACAAAGGAAAAGAAAAAGAAAAGAAAAGAAGGAAAAGCAAACAGAACCAATAATCATACAACACATGCCTGGGTGACTTGCTGAATCGGTTTATGCAGGTCACCGGTTTATTTTAAGAAGATACTCATTATAATTTAGGTTATATTGGAATTAACAATATGTTAGGTTAATATAGGAAGACCGCTAATAGTTCGGATTATTCATGTGAATTTTTCGTTATTATTATTATATTATTATTATTATTCCTATGTCTGCTTTAGGCAACTTCTTAATTAGTATTTCTCTTTTTATAATTATTCCTATGTCTGCTTTAGGCAATTTCTTAATTAGCATTTATGTCCTTTTATAATTAGGGCTCTTTTAATAGCTATATAAGGGTCATCGGTATTACTCAATAAACAGCTTTGAAAGAATTATTTCTTGTGTGTCTTAACAAGGTCAGGCACTGATTAATTCTGACTTAGGCTTTTTTTTATTCCTTTCTCATATTTTCCATTTCCTAGATTTGAAACGAGATCACAACCATGCCCGTAACACTTTGTTGGGATTCATGGCATGAAAGCTGTAGCACCAATTAATTGCTTAAAGTTAGTCAACACTGTAAAAGTCAAGAACTCATACAAAAGACAAAACAAAATGGTGAAGTTTTACGTTGGATGCCCATTCTTGTTGCAACCTTCATACAGGCTTCAACTCTATTTTCACATGGCTAGGTGTCATCCCTATCCATCTTGATATTCTTTGTATTGGTTGTCACTTATCCTGCCTTGTATCCCTTTTCCTCACGGAATTATTTGATCGTCTGTCTCATTCGGTACTAAAGAAAATTACAACCAGCAGTATGATACCTCAGTGTTCCTTCAACTTGCATGCTCTAAAAGTTTCTTTGCAAATTATTATCCCGTACTGAATATTTTGACATAATACTAACTGAGATATTTTATTGATTGATTTCTTTCCAGCTGGGCTAATTGCTCTTTTTGTCCTAGTTTTATGTTAGTCCTTGTATGTGTAACCTGTAGAGAAAATTCCCTAAATAGGACAGGACTAAAGCAAACATTAAATTCATAAATAGGACTCTCTTTGCTTTATTCCCAAAATAGGACTCATTCACTCCTATTTTAATCAACTTAGTCCTATTTGGGGAATAAAACATACTTAGTCCTATTTTTGAACTTTCTGTATGTTTTAGTCCTATAGTCCTATATTGAGCAACTTCTATAACCTATATTTGTGTGCATTGAGGATAAAAGGGATGTGGAGAGGGTAGAGACAGAGAGTGCGCCTGTTGGAATTTCTCATTTCATATAACAATAGTAATTCCATATGCAGATGATCCTGAAGTGAAGAAGGGCAATGAGCCTTTTCTTTGCAATACTTTTTTTTGGGGGGGTGGGGGTTGAGAGGGTATGAGTTTAAGGTGCACGTCATAACTGTAGTTGAATGGTAGGAAATTTTATGCAAGTTGATGCCCTTGAAGTGCTATAGATTACATATGTCTCATTTTGTATGTTATCATATGAACTTTCCGAGCAGTTGAAGGGTCAGGAAGTAGGAAAGCATCCGTACAGAGATACCTTGAGAAGAGAAAGGACAGGTATTGCTCACTAAACTGCTTATATGTATAGAAAGTGGCGATAGAAGTAATATTTTCATCTTATTCTTTTAACCTCTCGCATCTATGTTAGGTAGGTTCAGGAACAAGAGAAAGTCAGTAATGCCTTCTTCACCTAGGTTGGACATCTACGTGAAACCTCAAATGCAACACCATACTGCCAATGAGCACCCAGGTTAGTGCACTTCATGCTTTAACCCAAACAACACTTTCTTTAGCTACAACAACATCCAAGCCTTAATCCCAAAAGAATTTGGGGTCGGCTAACATGAATCGATCTATGATATCGATGCCAAAAAGAGAAGGCGGACAAGAAAAGGAAAAAAAGTAAGATAAAATGAATAAAATAAAGATACATAAATATAAGATAACAATAACACAAGAATATAACCAAGATAAAAGAAAAATAAATAAAAGAGCATAAAAAAGCTAGAAGATAAAAATAACATAAGAATATAAAAAGATAAGGAAGATAAACGATAAAAGAAACAAGAGAGGAAATGTAGACAAGACATCAATCGTTCACATGGATGTGCGCCCTCCACTTTGCTATCTCCAAAGCCATACTCTCATACAACCCAAGTAGACGCATATCAGTTCCGATTACTCTAATCCAAGTCTGTTTGGGTCTTCCCCTCCCTCTCTTCTCTGACTCTTCTCCCCACCCTCAAGTCGTCTAACAGGTGCATCGCTCGGTCTTCTATGCACATGCCCAAACCATCGCAAACGAGACTCCTGCTTCTTATCTTCTATAGGTGCTACTCCCACCTTTTGTCTGATTACCTCATTCCTCAGACGGTCTTTTCTGGGATGTCCACACATCCAACGCAACATACGCATCTCTGTCACACTCATCTTTTGAATGTGGCATTGCTTCACCACCCAACACTCTACGCCATACATTAATGCCGGCCTAATTGCTGTACGATAAAATTTACCTTTCAGTTTAGTCGGCATACCTCGATCGCATAGAAATCCTGAAGCACTTTTCCATTTCATCCACCCAGCTCTGATTCTATGACATACATCTCCATCTAATTCACCATCCTTCTGAATTATGGATCCCAAGTAACGGAACATATCACACACCGGTATCTCCTTACCATCAAGAGTAATCCCACTGTTGCTACTGCTTCTACCTCCACCGAACTTGCACTCCATATACTCAGTCTTGCTTTGGCTCAGTTTGAAACCCTTGTTCTCCAATGTTTGTCGCCATACCTCCAACTTTGCTTTAACACCGGATTGTGTCTCATCAATCAATACAATATCGTCGGCAAACATCATGCACCACGGTAAATCTTCTTGAATTGACTTCGTAAGTTCATCTATGACTAAAGCAAATAAGAAAGGACTCAGAGCAGATCCTTGGTGCACTCCGATAGTAATAGGGAACTCTGCGGTCCTCCCTACACTAGTGCGGACACTTGTAGTACAAGCATCATACATATCCATGATGATGTTGATATACTTACGTGATATGTCTTTTCTAGTTAAGGCCCACCAAAGAACTTCTCGAGGTATCCTATCATATGCTTTTTCTAAATCAATGAACACCAAATGCAGATCCTTTTTAGTGTCTCTATACTTCTCCACAACTTGTATAAGAAGGTGAATGGCCTCAGTTGTTGAGGGTCCAGGCATAAAACCAAATTGATTCTCCGAAATTTTCACACTTTTACGTAGTCTTTGCTCAACCACTCGCTCCCAAAGTTTCATGGTGTGACTCATAAGCTTAATTCCTCGATAGTTAGCACATTCTTGTACATCACCCTTATTTTTAAATAAGGGAACGAGAGTACTCTTCCGCCAACTCACTGGCATTTTGTTGTTTCTCCAAATAATGTTGAAGAAACGTGTTAGCCACTCGATGCCTTTCTCTCCCAAACTTCTCCTAGCCTCGATCGGTATGCCATCTGAGCCCACTGCTTTCTTCCGGCCCATTTTTCTCATAGCCTCTTTAACTTCTGTTGTTTGAATCCTTCTCACGAATTCCCTATTTACCATACACTCTGGTATAGTAAGATCATCAATACCTTGGACTTTATTCCCGTTGAACAAGGTATCAAAGTATGACCTCCACCTCTCTTTTATTTCTTCGTCGTCCATTAATACCCTTTAATCGCCATCCTTCACACACTTAACTTTTCCGAAATCTTGAGTCCTACGGTCATGAAGGCGAGCAAGTCTGTAGATATCTTTTTCTCCTTCCTTAGAATCCAACTTTACATACAATTCCTTATTCACTTTTCCTTTGGCTTCCTTCACAACTTTCTTTGCTCTTCTTCTAGCCTCTTTGTACTACTCCTCTATGTTCTCGTCGCTCCAACTTTTGCCCAATTTCTTATAGCATTCTCTTTTGGCCCTTATTGCCTGTTTCACCTCATCATTCCACCAAGATGTGTCCTTTTTTGGTAGCAGACATCCTTTAGATTCTCCGAGTATCTTCTTCGCCACTTTGTTAATGGTGGACTCCATTGATAACCACACATCATCCACGTGTGCGTCATTATCAATAGACCAAACATCTTCCTCCAACATTTTGTGTGCAAAACTTTGTTGGAGATTCCCCTCGAGCCTCCACCATTTTATCTTTGGCTCCCCTTGTACCTTAACTCGTCCTCTCTTTTTACCTCGAAAATCAAGCACAAGCATCCTATGCTGAGTGACAGCGCTCTCACCTGGGATAACCTTACAATCAGTGTAGCTAGTTCTCCAAGTCTCACCTGGGATAACCTTACAACACTTTCTTTAGCTTCAAAAAGTAAATTCCTTTTACTCCAGAACTTCGTATCTTTATGTTTCCTTTGGGAGGGAAGTTTTGGTGGTAAAGAACGTAGGCAGGGGTTGTTTTTACTCTTAAGAAAACATTGCTTCAACTTGCCAATTTTAATACTGTAACTAAAATTTATAAAATCATAAATAAATATAAACTCGATGTCATACTAAGTCATTTATTTATTACTATATATAATTCTCTTATTCTATCCCCCCCAACCCAAGGGTATGTTTGAACCGGTGTCCTGCGGTAATAAGTAGTTATCTCGGACATTGAGTTTGTACTGATTTATCATTTCGTCTTTTATTCTGGGAAGCTATTAAGTTAAAGCAACATTTTCTTGCAATAAAAAATTGTCCTCTCTTTCCTTTTCCTCTAAAAGCCTCTCCTACACATACCTTAGGAATTGAGTATGAGTTCCCTGTCAGCCTTTAACCATTTTGTAATTTGTGCATTGAGAATATTATTTAAGCCTAGGAGTAAAAGGTTTTGCTAAAGGAGAGAATCTATGGATTCTATAGCATCATCAATACCGACCTTTTTTGTGGTTCCAAAACAATAGCACCTGTGCTAAATTCATCTTTGTTAATTGGAAGTTGGAAAACTTCCTAGGTGCATTTGATCAACTACTATCAATAATATTCATCTTCCTTCCTTTTTCTCGCCTTACCCTTTATAGGAGATTCATTCCACTTTTGTTTTAATTAGTACTGGACATTTCTATTTTGTTGCCACACCATCATCCCATCCCCTTTTTTGACCAAGATCTAGTTAGTGCTTTAGTTTTAAGAGAGTGGTCCCCAGCACTATTTTAGTTCCAGCCCCAACTTAGAAGTTCAACTTCAAAGCTATGAAGTTAGTTTAAGGATGGTTTTGAGTTGGAAAGTTAAAGAGTTAGGTTTGAATTCTCCGATCCAACTTAAACCAAAAAGAAAATACAAGAAAGTTGGGTTCCATGTCCCACCACTAATTTGTAGCACAAAGTAAAATTTATTGATAATGATGAGTGTATTGAACTAGGGACCTTATTAGCAAAGTTTTAACTTTTAATGTACTCCTAATAAGTTTGCATTAGCGTGTTATGATTGTAATCTACATGGCTTGGCTTTTCAGACAACAAAGAGTGGATTATGGAAGGAAGGTTGAGGTAGGTAGGAAGGAGACACTGGGATTTGTTAGCCTTTATTCATGCCATGAGAACCAAGGAGGATATGTAAGTTCCATTTTCGCTTTAGGTACGTAGGCACAACAAGAGATGCAGATAGGGGTAGGAAATCTGAAATCCTCCCCCCCAAGTATTCATTTGGATGCATGTATTAGGTGTATGTAGATGATCTATGTCGGCAGTGCATGTACACAAAACATCTAGCTAGCCAAGTTGCCATACAACATTGAGTTGAAAGGGCATATTTTTTGTTTTCACTATTCTGTAGTGTCATTAGTGGCAACTGGGCGTTCTATTTTGCCCTTTTAACTACATGGTTCTATGTGCAGGTCTAGTGTATATGAGGTTGTTGGTGGAGTTGTGCTTTAAATTTACTGTGCAAAGAATTTTGATTTATTATCGATTAAACACTTTGGGTCATCTCTTCTAAATGCATTCATTCTGTGAATTCACAATGGGTGGGTTATTCACTTATTCTTATACAACTTGAGATTTTGTTTAACGTGCTATTGAGCAGGACTAAATAAGTCATGTTTGAGTAAGTTCACGTTTAATATGCATTGTGACTTGCATTTATTACAATGAATTGTCAATCATATGTACACGTGCATTTGTTAATATGCATTAATACAGCTATCAACTCCAATAAACAGAAAAAATAAAAGGAATATTAACTCAAAAAGTTTCTATGCATACATGATAAGCGTATAAAATCTAAGGTTCAAAAGCGATGTAATTGTTGATTTGCCTATTTTGCACCTATTGATTGAAACTGCCGAGTTATCTAAAAATACTCCCTCTATCCCTTAATTCAAGATTTAAAGTCCTGGATTAGAGAAGGAAATTTATAAGGTTAGATTTTCCAAAAATACCCTCATAATGGTAAGGGTATTTACCCTTGCTGTTTTCACAGTAAAATAGGGGGTGGAATTGTGGAAATGTGGAATCAAGCAAAAAGAACACCATGGCAAATCTGAAGCTTTTAAATGAAGTACTTGATGCCTTGTACAAGCTGTCCATCACTCCATCTGTTACAGACTTACAGTGCACTATCAAATGTCTATCGGCCATTTTGATGCCAAAAGCTCGAAATTCCCTCCAAGTTTTACTTTACATTAACATGGAACTTCCTAAACTATGATATTTCATCCAATTACACATTCAATACACTACATCTATAACTACATTTCATTCATTACAACTCAAAGAGCATTGAATACAACAACAAAAATGAATACAAATGAATATTCTTCCTCTTCACAACCTCTTGTTTTGGAGTCTCATATGATCTTAATGCTCTGCCAGTCTGCCTGAGCTGAATATAATCCCCAGATCACTTGCAAAGAAGTCAGTATTAGAAGGTGAAGAATAAACAAATATAGGAAGAAATTATAGAGCTCCATGGCTTAAGTTTAGAATAGGGTTGGATTCGGTTCGGGCCACCTGGCCCGGTACTGTGCGGGCCCGGGACCGGGTATGGGCCCAAACCGGTGGGAAGGGGCGGGGCGGGCTCGGTGCTGGAATAATGTGACCTGGCCGGGTCGGGTCCGGGCCCGGGTCCGGGTCCGGTCTTATTTTTTTAAAAAAAATTTTGTTTAGTTGGGCTACTAGCCGTTGGGGGTGGGGCTGGGGACAACCCAAACGGCTATATAGCCGTTAGGTGGGGTAAAGGGGGGGTCCGGGGGGGTAAAAAAACCTATAAATACTCCTAATCTTAAACATTTTTTCATATCTCTTCTCCAATTCTTCCTAAATCCTAATCTTAACTCTCTACTCTCTAATTCTCTTATTCTCCAATATATTATATTTATTATTTATATATCTACTTTATAGTTTATACTTAAGAAGTTAAGATGGAAAATCAAGATGCCATTATACGGTATAATTTTGATAAGCAGAAGGACCCGAAGACCGGGATGTGGTACGCAATTTGCAAATGGAGTGAGAAAAAATGTAGCATGGGGGCTTCAGGCGGATTCGGGATGGCAATCAAGCATATGAAGTCATGTGACAAAGTCAAAGGATCGGGAGGTGCGGGAAGTTCCGATTGATTACAATTTTCAAAATGTTTATCTCTTAAAGTTTGTTTTAATTTTCAAATGTAGTTCCTATTTCATTTCAAATAAATGCAATTGAAGTTTGTTTTTAATACTCGTATAAAACTATAAACTGTAAAATATAAATTATATATAAAAAAAAATAACCAGCCCGGCCCGAACCGGACCCGACCCGTGACCCGGGCGGGTGGCCTGGCCCGAACCGGACCCGTCCAACCCTCGGACCGGTCCCGGGCCCATGTCATACAACCCGGCGGCCCGACCGGGCCTAGGCCCGGCCCGGCCCCGACCCGGCCCGAGTCCATCCATAGTTTAGAAGTGATGATAGACAACGAATAATAGAAAAGCTTTTAGACAATGCTACATTGCTACTCGAGGGAAAATTCAGAAAAATACGAAATGCCATTGCATCAAAGAAGAATATGAGAACTTTGGCCTATGGGCTATGTTATGCAATTATGCAAGGGTCAAAGTTCACAATTCGCAGATGGTTAAAAGAGAGCAAATAAAAAGGCTTCTAAATTGAAAATGTTAGAATTTTATCCGAGTCACATCATCATAACTAATCAATCCTACTTTTCACGATTTTTACAGTAACAATGTAACATAGATAAAAAATGATTTTACTTATCTAAAGAAACATTCACTTTGGAGTTTGGATTGAAATTTTTTATAAGAAAAATCATATCAATAATCTCAACTATCGGATTTTTTTCACGATTCTTTCAAATCTTTTGTTGATAGTGAATTTATCTTTCAGATCTTAGATTGATTAGTTTCCTTTCACATCCCACACTTCCCCATTATATCCCAGTCTAAGCCTACCATAGCGACCGCTGCCTCCAACAACAATGGCGACTATTGATCGTGAAAAAAGTCGTTCGAAAGAATCCGATGAATTCTTTTTAGCCTCTCGATTTTTCTTAATTCCTCCGAAAAAGTCACCCAAAAAATTGAGACGATTAGAATGGCATGTTTCACGTTAGCAGTGACATTGATGGTAACAATAGTAAAAAAAATGAGACCAGCTGCCACTAGTTGTGACACAACAAAGTGACGATGACTTTAAAAAAGTGGTGAGTCACATAATAAAAAGTATTGGCATTCACAAATTTTCAATTTTATTACATTTTTAGTCACATTTTGTCCATATGTAATAATGTAATTTTAGTCTTTTCTTTAAATTAAACTTCAATATAGTACGGACTACGGAGTAACATTTATGAAAACTCCAAACATATTCTTAAATTGATGTAGACTACTCTTGGAGATAGAGAAGTTTTCTTATACATGATCACAACAAGATTCATTAATTCAAATAAACATATCATTGTTATTTTTAAATATGACTCATTTAATCCTAAAATGAAATTTTAACTACTCATATCCACAAGTTTTGTGGTACAATTTCTTGTGTTGTGATTATAATATATGGTAAGGTTAGTGGAGATTTTGAGATTTTTTGAATTATAATATTTGTTTACATTTCACTACAAAAAATAACGGGATTGACACGGATTTGACACGGATTTGGCACAGATTATTAATTGATGATTTCGTGCCAAATAGCTCGTGCCTAAATATTTTTGGCACGAATTTCGCTTATCCCTGCCAAAATTCATTTCAATTTTGGGAAATCCCTGTCAAAAATCTTGTGGGTATTCTTTTTTTGCAGTGTGTGTACTTCATCCCCCTCTTCCATTTTTTTCCTCGTTCTCCTTTATCTTCCATCTTCCGTCATACAAATGTGAAACACACAGCCCTTTCAGAACAAGAACATTTTTCTCTGGAAAAATATCAGAATGCACTTTTTGCTTTTATTTTCATTAGTTTAAAGTTAAACTTCACTAGGAGACATGAAATCCTCGCATGGCCTTCTATCTGTTGTTTATTGTGTCCTTGCTTTCTCAAGATGTATATTTTTTTCATGAAGTTCTTCCATTCAGTTTCAAAGATCAATAAATTTTCCCTTATTCATGGAATTTCTCCCTTAACTTCGAGTATTTACAAGTATTTGGCGAAAATTGAGGCTATATTTTCACTTGTTTCTTGTGGGAATGTTTACTGTTTGATACTTCTATTTAACTGTGAAAAAATGGCCTTAATATTACTTACAGAGTTGTCATGGACATAAATATGACTATTTATACTTTGGATAGAAAAGTGATTAAATGATATTTAATTCTCTAACCTAAATAACACAATTCATGGCTAGCCAGTGGCGGACCCAGAAAGTCGGAGTCACATGGTCCCTACCCTTACATATCTTTGATCTCTAATTAATGTAAAACTAATAAAAAAATATTAAAGAAGCATAAAACTTCAAAGTTAACGTACACCATCAAAACATTAAGATATATTATAAAGCAAAAACTTACATATAAGTCATTCAACAATTCTATAGATGTACTCTCCTAGGCTTCATTTGTTGGAAATATTCTATAATAGAATCATCACTAATAGTACCAAAAACATCTCTCTCAACATATGTAACTAAGCAATCATTCAACCATTGATCGCAGATCTTGTTGCACAACTCATTCTTCACAAACTTCATACTTGAAAACGCCCGTTCAACACTTGCTGTAGCTACTGGGAGAAGTAGAGATAACTTAATAAGTGTATACACATGCTGATATGTGAGATGCTTCTTCGTGGAAACCATTTCAATTGAAAGGTCTAATAAACCATTCAAATCAGAAAATCTATTATGAGAACGAACATTTAAAATATAATTCTCAAGCTGATTCTCGAGTATCTTTTGATCAACGTCAGAAAACTATTTTGGATAAAATTCTGCCAATTTAAGCAAAGATGCCCTATCAAAAGCTTCAAACGAGGAGGAAGGACATAAACAAGACACACAACGCAATAACTCAGTGCTTGCCGCCACATCAAACATGCTATCATGTAAACAATCATACTTGTAATGATGCATGTTCGTTATACTCGGTGCCCTGCGCTTCGATCTTTTTCCTTTGATGTAGTTCTGATCCATAGAAGGCACATCTATATGAAATTTGTTACAAAAAGTAACAACCTCATCAAACAAAGCACCCCATCCAATATCTATTTTCATTGCCGCTAAACGTTGTTTGACAACTGTGACTAATTTCAAAGCATTCACAAGATCTTGTTCACGCCTTTGCAATGCCTGTGAAAGATCACGTGTAATGGCCAAAACATTGATCATCAAATGAAGCATGAAACAAAATTCAAAAGTTTGCAATTCATTCAACAATGAAGTGGCTTCACCACTTTTATCATGGTCTTCCAAATCTTCGAGCACCTCAATCACAGATTTAAATAATTTTTGCAAATTAAGCAATGATTTGTAATGAGAACTCCATCATGTATCACCTGCTCTGACAAGTGCTAACTGTTGATTCAATCCTCTTCACGTTTTTACTAATCCAGCTTCTAAAGCACTTATCAAATCACTTGCTTGTTTATCTCGAAGGCATTCTTGTCGCTTATTTGATGAGCATATCTCATTAATTACGCGACTAACATGAAGAAGTAACCAATTAACCTCATGTTGTTCTTTAACAACGGCAACAAGTGACAATTGCAATTGATGAGCTAAACAATGGACATAATATGCATAAGGATTTCCATTTTGAATTAGAGTTTTCAATCCACCAAACTTACCCCGCATATTACTCGCTCCGTTATAGCCTTGTCCTCTTATGTTTGAGAAGCACAGACCATATCGTGTTAGAATGTTCTCAAGAGCTAACCCAAATACCAAAATCCACTCATGCCATCTTCCTAATATACTCGGATATAGAAATCTCCACTTCTCAAAAGCCACAAAGAAGCTCCAGACCTGCCGGCTGCCGCCGTCGGGTACCGGTCTCCGCGCATAACCCCTGTCTCCACACACACCCCACCATCAAGGGCCTTTAATTGTTGCTGCGTAAGATATTGGTATATGTTTACATTTATAATTTTCATAGTAGTTCTTTCGTTAATCAAATAGATTTACTAACTTTTTACCTACTTTACATCTTTAATAAATTTTACGTATTACATATTTTTTTTGTTATTCTTTGAGTTTGATGTTTAAAAAATATTTACATTGGGTCTAGATTGACTGTGATTTAAGATGAGTATTTACCAGTTTTGCAATACACATTGGGTCTAGATCGACTATGATTTGATTTTGTAGTTTACAAAGATTTTATATATTAACTTTTGCAATTGTTGAGGCATTCAATTCTTTTCGAAAGATATTTTATATACCAAATGAGGAGTAAGCATAGCTAATTTTGTATGGATTATTTAAATGAGTTTTGTGGTACACTAAAGTAACTATAGTGCTTAAAAGAAATGTATAGTATCATAACATTATGAAATAAATACAATGCAATTGATGTCTAGAAAAAAGATTTATTCATTATTTATCTACATAAGATTTTTATCTCTCTCATTGCTAAATTTAGTTTATTGAGAAAACAAAGTAAATTGTATTAAGTTACTTTGTACGAATATGTAACGTGTGTGAAATATAAAAGTGAGTTTTATATTATATTTAAATAATTATAATATTTAAAAGATATGTGTATTGATATATTATAAGAAATGCACAACACATGCATTAAATCTGATGGCATCAAATTTCTCAAACATGAGGTCGCATGTTCGAGTCTTATTTCAATCAAGGATGTTGTCATTAACATGAACATATATTATAATAGGTTTAGAAGAATATTTCTTAATAACAATTGAGTATTTGAGTGCAATGCCTTAAATACTGTACAATATTTTTCTTAATAAGATCATTATCTTTTACATTGCTAAAACAAGATAAAATTGAGTAAACAAATTAAAGATAATAACATGAATTAGTTTTGTAATGAAAATATTGTGTGCCTTAATTATAGAAATGAATTTCTATGTTACATTTGTGTTAGCAATCTATCATTATTCTTTGTATGTTGTGTACATATTTTTTTATGTGACGTTTTGATCACGTACTTAGTCTTTGTATTAGACTAGGAAAGTAGATAGCATTTAATTTTCTTGATTTTCTTTCCTAAAGCCACGCATGGCTGGTACGGTTGGCTTTTATATATATTAACACATTTGCGTTTTGTGAGAAAAGGAAATACAAAATAATTTCCCAAATATCCGTACCTTGTATGATTCTTACCTTTTAACATGGTATCAGAGCAGTGATTTGGGACCAATCAATCTCGCTCGGACGACGTTGGCATGGCCAAAGAAACCAGACGTAGCGGTGGAGACGGCCACTATGAAAACTTGGAACGAAGGAAAATTAATGATCCTTCATCTCCCTATTTTCTCTCGAGCTCGGATCACCCCGGCATGGTGATATGCGCTGTTGTTCTCAAAGGGGAGAATAACTATCGTGAATGGAGTACGGCCATGAAGAACGCATTCCGTGCTAAAAGGAAGATGGGATTTCTTGACGGATCCATTGAACGACCTCTAAATGCACCGAGGGATCTTGAAGATTGGTTAACCGTTAATTCCATGGCGGTGGGATGGATTATGACTTCTGTGGATCCGAGTTTGAGAACCAATCTTGCTTACATGGAAAGCGTGCACGATCTCTGGACAGATTTGGAGGCACGCCTTTCGGTTGGTGATGCTATGAGAACTCATGAGTTAAAGGAACCCATTCGAAATTGTAGGCAGCATGGTCAATCGATTACATCTTATTTCGGGCAACTGAGAGCGTTGTGGGAAGAGTATGATGGCGTGCGAAACATTCCCCAGTGCAAGTGCAATGGATGCACGTGTGATCTCAAGAAACTTTTTCTTAAACATGTGGAATCGGAGAAAATTCATGACTTTCTAATGGGCCTTGACCGAGAGACGTATGGGACTTTGAGGTCCAACATATTGGGCACTGATGACTTGCCTTCGCTGACTAAAGTATATCACTTGGTGGTGCAAGAAGAACGACACCAAAATTTGACACGAGGAAACGAGGACAAACCTGAGGCGGTCGTGTTTGCGGCGCGTTCCGGACCTGCAGCTGGTAGGGAAGACCGGGTGAAGTGCACCTTCTGCCACAAGACAGGTCATGAAATTGAGAACTGCTTCCGACGGACCGGAGTTTACCCAGACTGGTGGCACGACAACCTGGGACGATCAGGAACTGGAACGAGCCGTGGAGGAAGAGGACGGACTGGACCAAGCCGTGGAGGACCTGGACGCGGAAATTCTGGACGGAGTGCAGGACGTGGTGGCGTGCAAGCCATGCACGTGGGAGAATATCAGCCCGAGAGTCAGATGATGCAGGGAGGAAAAGAGATAACTCTGCATAAACCTGGCTTCACCGACGAACAGTGGCAAACATTTATCAAGCTGATGGAGAACTGTAAGGCCACGAGTTCGGAAGAAAAACTCTCAGGTACATAGATTCCTAACGAATGGATACTCGACTCAGGTGCCTCGTATCACATGACCGGGAATAACAACATACTGACAAAGATAATACGAATAACGCCGGTGGCGGTGACGATGGCCAATGGTGATATTACCAAAGCGACACACGTGGGAAATGCTATGATCAGTGGAACCATGACACTGATCAATGTTTTATTAGTTCCTGGATTAAAATGCAATTTAATTTCCTTGGGACAATTAATTGATAATCGAAAATGTGATGTATTTTTTACTAATGATTTATGTGTAATACAGGACCTACCTACGAGGATGCCGATTGGAGTGGGTGAACGGCGAGGTGGAGTTTATTATTTCCGGGGTCTGGAACGAGCACAGGCATTTGCTGTAGAAGGTTCGGATTTGGGAATTTTGTGGCATGCAAGGTTGGGACACCCATCAATAAAAGTTATGCATTCGCTTGGTTATTTGAGTAAACCTTTATTAAATTATGTTCAGAATAAAACGTGTGATGCCTGCATAAGAGGCAAACAAACGCGTGATTGTTTTGTTACTAGTGGTGCTAGAGCTGTTGAACTTTTTGAATTGATACATTGTGATATTTGGGGTCCATACCGTGTTGTGTCTTCGTGTGGAGCACGTTATTTCTTGACCGTGGTAGATGATTTTTCTAGGGCTGTGTGGGTGCACCTGATGAAAGAGAAAAGTGAAGTAAAAATTATTCTCAAACAATTTTTTGCCATGGTTGATGGACAATTTAACAAAAATGTAAAGGTGGTACGAAGTGACAATGGCAAAGAATTTGTAGGACTCCAAGAATATTTTCTGAATAGTGGGATAATTTTTCAAACATCTTGTGTTTACACCCCTCAACAGAATGGAAGAGTGGAACGGAAGCATAGACACATTTTAGAAATGGCCAGGACCTTGCGTTTCCATGCGAATTTACCTATCAAATGTGAAGTTTGTGTAGAGGCAAAACTAACGAAAACGTCTTTCAAATCGGTTGAAAGAAAAACGGAAGCACTTGAATTAATTCATAGTGACGTTTGTGATTTTAAATCAATACAAACACGTGGCGGTGATAAATATTTTATTACCTTTATCGATGATAGCACTCGCTATAGCTACGTTTATTTATTAAAAAATAAACACGAAGCAATCGATAAATTCATTCTTTATAAGAATGAAGTGGAAAACCAACTTAATCGACGGATTAAGACGGTTAGGAGTGATCGAGGTGGTGAGTATGAAGCACCAATTGGTGACTTTTGCGCTAGTGTGGGTATAGTACACGAACGTACCGCACCCTATTCACCTCAATCAAACGGTGTTGCCGAACGAAAGAATTGCACATTGAAAGATATGATGAACGCGATGCTAGTAAGTTCGGGCTTGCCACAAAATATGTGGGGCGAAGCAATCTTGACAAGCAATTACCTTTTAAATAAGGTTCCCCGGAAAAAATATGATAAAACTTCGTACGAGTTGTGGAAAGGCAGACGGCCTTCCTATCAATATTTAAAAGTGTGGGGGTGTCTTGCTAAGGTGCTTGTACCAACACCTAAGAAAATAAAAATAGGTCAAAAAACGGTGGATTGTATTTTTATTGGATATGCACAAAATAGTAGTGCGTATCGGTTTTTAGTGTACGATTCGAATAATCCGGATGTACATAAAAACACAATAATTGAATCAAGGAATGCTTCATTCTTTGAAGATGTATTTCCATGCAAGTCCAACGAAGGGCCTAGCACGTCAAAATGAACATTTGACGTAGCTATGGAAAATACTAGCGAGGGATCCGGAGAAGAACCCGAACCCAGACGTAGCAAACGTGCTAGAATTGAAAAATCCTTCGGACTGGATTTTCTCACCTACCTGGTAGAAGTTGACTCGAATATTCTAACATGTATGGTAGAAAATGAACCGGATTTTCTAACATGTTTGGTAGAAAATGAGCCACGGACTTATACGGAAGCCGTGACGTCTACTGAAGGTCCTATGTGGAAACAAGCCATCAAAAGTGAGGTGGATTCTATCCTTAAAAATCACACATGGGAATTGGTTGATCTTCCTCCGGGAAATAAACCTTTGGGATCCAAGTGGATTTTTAAACGGAAAATGAAACCTGACGGTTCCATCGATAAGTACAAGGCCAGACTTGTAATCAAGGGATACAAGCAACGTGAGGGCCATGGTTACTTTGACACGTATTCTCCTGTGACGAGAATAAATTCCATTAGGATGATACTAGCAATTGCCGCATTGCGAAAATTGGAAGTTCATCAAATGGACGTAAAAACCGCTTTTCTAAATGGCGATATAGACGAAGAAATCTATATGGAACAGCCCGAAGGCTTTCGTGTTCCTGGCCAAGAAAGGAAAGTGTGTAAATTAATTAAATCATTGTATGGATTGAAACAAGCCCCTAAACAGTGGCACGAAAAGTTCGATCATGCAATGTTAATTAATGGGTTTAAAATAAACGAAAGTGACAAATGCGTCTATGTGAAGAGCACGGTAGACGGCTATGTCATTTTATGTTTATACGTGGATGATATACTCATCGTGGGTAGCAATAATCTAATGATTAATTCTACCAAAAGCATGTTAAATTCTAAATTTGACATGAAGGATATGGGGCTGGCCGATTTAATCCTTGGGATTAAAATAATTAGAGGACCTGACGGTTTTACGCTAAGCCAATCCCATTACGTTGATAAAATCCTTACGAAATTTAATAAGGATGATTATCAAGAGGCAAGGACTCCATTAGATAAAAATGTACAACTTACCAAAAATCGTGGAGAGTGTATTTCTCAAGTAGAATACGCTAGGATTATTGGAAGCTTGATGTATCTAATGAGTTGTACTAGGCCTGATATTGCCTTTGTGGTTAGTAAGCTAAGTAGATATACTAGCAACCCCGATGATGAACACTGGAAGGCAATAGTAAGGGTTTTGAGGTATTTACGTAAAACCCAAAACCTTGGAATGCACTATGGAAGATATCCAGCTGTACTTGAAGGGTATAGCGACGCTAGTTGGATATCCGACATAAAGGACTCTAAGTCCACAAGTGGATATGTTTTCACTTTGGGAGGTGCAGCCGTATCATGGAAATCCTCAAAACAAACGTTAATAGCTAGATCCACGATGGAGTCTGAGCTAATAGCCTTGGATAAGTGCACTGAAGAGGCTGAATGGCTACGCCATTTTCTCGAGGATATTCCAAGTTGGGAGAAGCCTGTCCCCAATATGCATACATTGCGATTGTCAAGCGGCAATTGGAAGGGCACAGAGCAATCTCTACAATGGTAAGTCTAGACACGTTCGTCGTAGACATAACACCATTAAACAACTCCTCACAACGGGTGTTATCACTGTTGACTACGTGAAGTCAAAGGATAACATAGCGGATCCGCTAACCAAGGCATTGGATAGAGAATTGTTGGAGAAGTTGTCACGAGGAATGGGACTAAAGCCCGTGAATTGAAAAGTTCTATAGTGGATACCCAACTTAGTTGGTCCTAGGTTCAAAAGGGACAACTAAATTATAAAGCGAAGGATGGTCACCGTGGGGGTCCCAGACTCCTACCCACTCCTCGTTAAAACAGTGACTCCCGCACGAGGTTAGCAAAACCGTTTGCTTTAATGATTCTAAAATGTTGATCTACTCGATAACATTGGAAGAGTATGCGGGATACTCGTGAAAGAATCACCTATGTGAGAGAGAAGAGGGCCGCTTCAAAGGAGAACTGTAAAGGCTCAGTTCTTTAGAAACTCTTGCAGAACCAGGACGGTGACCCATGGCCAAAACGGGCACACCCATGAGAACGGAACAAAGTTGGAAGGTTCTTGTGTAAAGATAAGTCAATGTTTACACGACGGCAGTATAGTTCAAGGACATCGAGTCTACTAGACAGCCAGTAAATAAACGTGTCTTTACAACGGAAGGTTCAAAGGATAAAACCTACTCTCCGTATGCAAGGATCATCCGGTGAACACGTGTCCTCCTATCTTCGTTTTTTTTAAGTCTCGAAAATCAATTTTCATTCATGTGGGGGATTGTTGAAAAAATGTGTTAAAAATTGCATTAAATGGTCATTTTGGGGCAATTATTTGAGTGGGGTCCACTTCCGATTTGGGTCGGGTCAAAGTGGTTTCGGATTGTCCTTGTTAAGGGCTACAATTTGATATGTGGTACACTCAAAACGGATAACGGGTGAATGAGAAATTGATTCTCGAAGTTCACTCGTTGAAATGGAAAAACTGGGAAAATGATGGGTTTCTAGTGTGTTTTATCCCACACCGAAAAACTCAAGGGGTTTTCACCCCCTTATAAAGGGAAGCCTCTTTTAAGGAGTTAAGATTCCTAAGGGTAAAGGCTCTCTCTTACGCGCAGGGGGGAGTGCCGATCAAATTCCGAAACGGAGAAGAAAAACCACGACTCGTGTGCGCGGGCGACCTGCGGACACGAATGTCGTCCGAAAACCTATCATTCAAAGATACGGTCTAATTTTGTTTCTTCCCGTAACGTTCAGGTCCATTAACATCCCATTTAACACACAACAAATCCTCCTATAAAAGGCTGGCAGGTGCTTTGCAACAAACACACGGTTTGACACGACGCACAATACTTTCCTCATGAATTTCTTGAGCTAAAAACACCTACAACTACTCTGCAAAATTCCTTCTGTGTTCATACTTGGTTCTCGTTCGCTGGAACTCTTGTTTGTGTGCTCAAACATTAGTTCGTAGTCATCGTATCCTGGGAAACGATTGTTGCAACGCTTCTAGCACTGTGGGAGGCAACAGATACGTTTTAAGGAAATCGTGCGTAGCACGAGCCTTGACTAATTCTGCTTCATCTCCTTTCTTGTTTTTCTCTAGTCATTTTATTTAATTAATTTATTTTAATTAATTATCTTTATTTTCCGAAACACACCCTACATTGTTTACCATATGTTTCGGATCAAATAAAAACCTTTCTTAACGTGAAAACTGAAAACCGTTCACTTTTATCCGAATGTGATGCACTTTAAGGGTGATCTGTTGCACTTTTTGAACTTCAGTCGAACCATGCTAAATAAAAAAATTAGACGCATTTTCGTAAATAAGTCAAAGTTTCCTGTCAATGCGAAAAAGTGCAACACAAAAACGTAATAGTGCATCACACTATGGAAAAAAGTGGAGGTATGCAGTTTTCACGATTAGAATGGTTTTTATTTGATCCATACTTGTTTACCATAATGATTAAATATTTTCATATTAGTTGCACAAATAATTATCAAGAGAGTTGTCTAACCGTTTGAAAAAAAGAGAGCTGTCTAACAAATATTAATTACAATCGCCTATTTTTATCAAAATCATTATTTTAAAACATTACCAATTGATATTTTTTCACTTATTTAATTCTTAACTATTAAGAATATACTCTTTCCGTCCCGAAAAGGTTGGCCAAACTTCCTTTTTGGATGTTCCAAAAAGATTTGTCATTTCCATTTAAAGTAAGGAATATGTGGCTAAAATTAATTCTCTCTCATCTGGACAAATTTCAACCACATAGTTTTTACTTTATTAATCCACATGAAAATCAACTTTGGTCAACCTTTTCGGGACGAAGGGAGTACTAAAAATATGGAGTAATCCACTCCTCATATTTAGGTAGCCCCATTTTTTATGAGATGAATTGGTTTTGGCACACCCATTCAAGATACATCATACATGTTTCCTGAATGAAATGCTTTGATTACCATCAGCACAAGAAACAAAGACCTACTTGGATTATAAGGTATAGGGTGGCTCTGACAAACTGACACCATTTGCTTTTATCCATAGAGCAATTTTAATACGGAGTATTCATTGTTTAATTCATTAGTGTGTCCGAGGGAATTGACAGGCAACTTCTACGTTTGGACTCTAGTTTTACATGATGTGAACTATTGATTTGGACAGTTTTGGGCGGGAGTTTGAACATATTCTCACGCTGCTTTGTATATAGAATAGATTTGGGGTAAAATGATGTCACCATGATGTCAGCGAACACATGATTTGGCTGCACCATTCAGTGTACGAACCAACTCATCCCCATTTTCTTTTCTTTTTCATTTAGTTTTTGCTGTCAACCCTTCCCTCTATTTTTACACTCCTCCACTTTCCTTTCCCTTTTACCCCTTTGAAATTAGAGTCCAAACTCTCTATGTTTAGAACCTTCGGTCCCTGTTCTTGAGTCAGGAAGCTCGCTATTGTATCAGAACCTGGGTTTTGCTACTGTTCATCGTCGTGCTTATGGCGACCAAAAAGCAGGGGTCTACGGTGGTTTCGACGACTCGGCCTCGGACCAGGTCCAGGTTCGCCCTCCTCGCTGACACAGATGAGGAATTTCCGGCGTTAACCCTGGGGAACGTTGTGAAGAAGCCAGAAAAAATTTCTGGGGATGTTGTTAATGTTGGTCCTTCGTCGTGTTGTGATGCTCAGATTGGAACCTCGGATACGGCTCAGGAGCCTGCTATCCCAGCTGCTGGGAAACCAATTACAACTGCCAAACTGAGTACTGCTGTGAAACAGGTTGGAACTTTGGATACGGCTCAGGCTCCTGGGACTGTGCTTACTGCTCCTGCGCAAGCTGCTGCTACAAAGGATGGGGGAAAAACTGCTGTTGTGAAAACTTCTAGTAATGCAGCAGTTGCTACTAGGCAGGCTCCTGTGAATTCTGAGTTGCCTCTGCTGCCTTTGGCAGTAACTCCTGCAACTGTGGGAGCTATCACTTTGGCAGATTCACAAAAAACAAAAAAGCTGCTAAGGAGAAACAATGGAGTACACTGTTCAAAGACAATCGATATCCCTCCGAAGGGCTTAAACTGAGGTATATTCCACCAACTAGTGATATTCTTGATTTTTCAGACCGTGTGCTACCTTCAATGGTGGATATCTTTGGCTACTGTCTGGTGGGCTTTTTCACGGGAAGGTTTCCTGGTTTAAAGGCAACCTATACCCTTACAAAAAAATGGGGAGTACACTGTGAAGTCAAACCACATGATAAGGGATGGGTTGTTTTTAAATTCAAGAGTGAAGCTGACAGGAGTATAGTTATGATTGAGGGGCCTTATATCCTCTATGGGAAGCTACTGGTTTTGAAGGTCCTGTCTGATGATTTTTCCTTTAAAGATATGAGTTCTTGAAGGTACTGATTTGGATAAAATTCCTTAAGCTCTCGGTGAGGTTGTGGAATGAGGATACTATTAGCGAAGTTGCTTCTAAAGTTGGAGTTCCTCTCACCACGGATAGGATAACGCTTGAAAAGGCAAACCACAACTACGCGAGAGTATTAATTGAAGTAGACGTGACAAAGCCACCTCCTCTCTCATTCCCAATCAAGATGGCGTCAGGAAGGATTTTTGAGCAGCGGGTACTCTATGAAACGTTTCCGAACTACTGTTTCCATTGCAAACAATACGGGCACCATCCTTTCATTTGCAAGGAACTAGCAACAAAAGAAAAGGCTGACTTCGGCGAACCAGAAAAGGTTGAGACTATAATAATTACTAAGGAACCCATAACGAAGGCTACTGAGGCTACGAAAGCCATTGTTGCGCATGAGACTGTGGACCCGAAAGGGAAATTTGTGGAAGTACGCAGGCAGAAGGGAAAGAAGATTACAAAGCAGATGATACCTCCTGAAACCAAGGTTGTCGCTGCTGTAGCGATTGAACCTACTGGAGCTACGGTTTTAGAGTTTGAAACTACTGCTGCTGCTACGCCAAGTATCGAACCTGCTAACGCGGCCCTGAGCTCCAACGACTCCGTGAGCTCAGAGTATGACGAGGATTCAGAGAGCTCGGATTGCTACCGTGGTGAAGTAGTGGACCCAGGTCACCTTTGCACCGAAGAATTTGAGGTAGTGTTTATGCGTGGTAAGTTTTTCAAGGTTAAAAAAGAAGAAGTGAACACGAGGAAAATGTTAAGAAGGACTCCTGGTTTAAGTTGTAAAGAGACACTACTCAAGAGGAAGGAGTATCTACTTTCTATTGTAAATGAGGGAAATGGATGAGTTGATTTACGGGAAAGAGAATTGATGCTTGCTGCAGATATTGCCCTGTGGCTGGATAGTTTATGTTGTCGTCGTGCTTCTGGTGATTGCTAGGTGTTTTCTGATTTTGTTTTGACATGGGGCTTGTCCCATTAGCTTCTGATGAATTATATTTAGGTTAGAGGCATCTAACTTAGGTAGTCTTCTTGATCTGGTGTGATACATTGTAAAATATTATTTTTGGGTGCTTTATATATATACTTACATTTCATCCAAAAAAAATACTCATTGTGTGGTATGTACTACTTATCTGTGAATAAAGTGATATGTGCTTTAATTTTTCTAAATTTATTGAAGAATGTGATTATGAGCGATAGTGTGACAATGGTGTGCCATTAAAAATCAATCCATACTCATTATCTAATTACTCTTTAAAATTACTATATAGAATTATGAGTTCATGAAGTGTTGTGCAATTTTTGTTTTACATTTTACTTATTCTGTAATACGGTTTCATAAATAATCTGTGTATGCTCATAATGTAAATACATAATGCTCAATTTATAAAACTTTGTCAGATTTTTATATTACAGAAAACTGGTTTAAAATATACTGGTTTAAAATAGTGTCTGTAGAGAATTGTTTGTATGCGCAAAACTTGAAAACAAATGCTCATTTTAAAAAACATTATGTGAATACTATTTTTACAGATGATGTTAAGTTACAAATGATGTGATACTCATTATTTGATTAGTACTTTCAAATGTCCATATAGTGCTATGTGAACATCAAGTACTATGAAGTTTTTGTTTTAGAATATGGTTGTTATGGAATAAAGGTACATTATAATTGTTTGTTTGTTCATTATGTAAGTGAAAAATGCTCATTGATGATAAGGTACAGTGTACTTATTAAGTATGAAATGCATTTGTGATTCATGAATGAATATCTCATACTCATTTTAATTATTAATGAAGGGTTTTAGATGTAAGGCCAATAATTGAGATCCCAGTGTTGCGTGCAAAGCCAAAAAGGGAGTTAAAAAAGGTTTCCAAAGTTCAAGAGAAAAAGTATAAGATAAAACCAGATAGAGCAAAGAACAAAGCTTCAAAGAAGCAGATATCTAATGTGGAAGCAACCGAGCAACATGAGGGTCAGACTGAGCAAAATGATAATGTTGAAGCAGCTCACAACGTTGATGTGGAAAGGAATAATGTGGAAGATGATGGTACCAGTCAGCCAGATCACAATGAAGCTGAAGAAGATGAAAATGTGGAAGAACAACATAGAGGTGATGTTGAAAGCAGTAAGCCAGATGAGCATGGTGCAAAAGAAACTGAGCAAACTATGACTCAGAATGATCAAAATGAGAATGTGAAAGCACCAAAAGAGGATGGTTTGCAGAAAAAGAAAGTGGAAAGCAAGAAAAGAAATAGAAAAAATTCAAAACAAAGTGGAGAGCAAGCAACTTCAAGCAAACAGACTTTCCGAAGCTCTGGACTAGAATGTGAGGATGAGAGACCAAAGAAGAGAATAACAAGATCAACCATAGGAGAAAAAACTGAAAACAAGACAGTTGAAGTTAAGAAAAAGAAGAAAGAAGATGAAGCAAGAAAGAAAGGAAAATGTGAAGCAAAGTCATCAAAGGCGGAGAAAAGAAAGCCGAAGAAGAAGAGAGTTGAAGAAGAAGAAATAGAGGACGAGGATGAGGAGGAAGAAAAGGAAGAAAATGATCAATTTCCGAAACTCTAGACTAGAATGTCTCCAAGAAGTATAACTGAAATTATGACACCAATGAGTGAAGAACAAAAGGCAGAGGTGCTGGAGATGGGGTTTGGTCCATTACTGAACCTTCAAATCAAGCAATTGTCGATGCAGTTAGCATATTGGACTGTTGAGAACTTTGATAGTAGAAGTGTGTCTCTTGTGCTGCCGAACAATGAGAAATTGAGGATAAATGAAGATGCAGTGCACTTCACATTGGGGTTTCCAAAAGGAGACTTAAATGTGAAGAATTTGATTGACACCCAAGCTGAAGAAACATCACAAATTGTGGCTGATTGGAGATCCCAATTTGAGACAGAAAATGGAGTTGTGAGGACTGGTCAATTGATGAAGGTCGTAGATGAAAACAAAAGAGGTGGAGGCTGGTTTAAGAATTTTTTTGGTTCTCCTTGTAACATGTCTGATTGAAGGTAAGCAAAACTGCTTTGCAAATCAAAGCATTCTGAAGGATTTAAAGGATGATTCAAAAATACCAAATCTGAATTGGTGTGGATATACATTGGAAATTTTAATTGAAGCAAAGGACTATTGGAGCAAGAACAGAACAAGACAGTTCCTTGGGCCTCTATTGTTTCTGATTGTAAGTTAATGCTCAATTCTATAATCTTATTAATCAAATTGTTATATGCATTACACATTTCTAACAGCTTATGAAATATGTAGATGTTCTATGTTGACAATGTTGTGTTCAAAGGAAGAAAAATGCAAAGAGGATTGTCATCTATCATTGGATGGACAACACAAAAATTGAACAAAAGAGAGAAGGAAGAAATTGAAAGTGGAGGGTTTGGATTTGGATATGTGGATGAAGCTAACATAGGGGAACTTACAATTCCAAATGTGAGAAGAAATGAAGAAGAAGTTGAAAGGGCAAGTGAGGGAGACACCAATCAGAATCCAAAGAAGGTAAGAGAGTTGTATGTAATTTTAAGAGAAAAATTTGGGTAAATATATAAATGAGAATTCTGATTTCTTTGGGATAGTACAATGAGTATAGTACATTAACAAAATGATCATTCTTTGGAATAAACATGCTTATATTCAGTGAATTACGTGTTGAGTATTAAAATGAGTTAATGTTATACTACAGTGATTATTATTTTTTATAATAAATGTGTTACAATATGAAGTGATTATATTACATGTGTTGGTTATAAAACATCTAAGTATAAAATTTTAAAAAATAAAAGAGGAGCAATATTATCATTTTATACATTTGTGGTAATGGAATGAGCATTGGTTGGAATAAATTGTTTTCATATGAGGTGGAATGTGTTACTGTTATAGTAAAATGATTAAAAATGATTATTATGGTTATAATAAAAGTGTTATATTATGTAGTATTTATTTTACATGTTTGGGTTATAAACAATATGAGTATAAGCTTTTATAAAGTGAGCACTATAATGTTTTAGTTGAGCATACAATAATGAATAAATGTGTTTGTAAATTAAAGCAGGATGCAATGAAGGAATTTGCTTCAGCAGCAAAACATTTGGCTGAAAGCATCTCAAATTTTGATGAGAAATTTCAACAGGCTGCACAGGCTTTGCCTGATGATGAAACCATGAAAGCGTTGCTTGGAAAAGTTCATGGGCTATTCAACATCTATTCCACACAACCACAAACAAATGAAAAAGGAAAAGAAATCTCAATGTCACAAGATGATGATTTCTGGACCGGAGATGTACTGAAAGCGATAGAAGCAATTGAAAATGCGCAGAAGAAAATGATTGATAGGCAAACATTCATACAGTATGAAAAGCCGAGTTTCAGACTGCTATCACAGGAATCAAATGAGTCTCCAATCACAGGGGAACATAGAGAACAGGAGAATGAGGGTACAACTGTTGTTGACCAAGAAGTTCAAATCAATGAGCATCAGGGAGTTGTAAATGAGCAACAAGAGAATGTTAATGAGCAACAAAAAAAAAACCTTGAGGAGCAGAATGACCAAAGCAGCCCAGAGGATGAAACAAGGGTGCATGAGTTAAGCAGTACAAGTGATGAAATCACTGATAAAGTTTCTGAAAAGGGAAAGAATATTTGCATGGAAGGTGAAGATGGTGAGCAAAATGTATTGAAGACAAAAAGAAATGTGATGTCTGCACCTGCTTTAAAGTCACCATTTGTGAACAGAGTTACAGAAATTAAGGCACCACCAACCACCGAAGAGATCAAGGTAGCTCAATTTGTGTTTAATGAGGGCACCGATAAAAAGTAAGTAATTAAATACTTCTCATAAACAATTATTATATATTTAATGAAGAATGCATAATTACTTCAGGCTTTTAGGCTCTTGGAATTTTGTGAATTGTGAGTAAAGTTTGAAATAAGATGTCTGACATGATTAAAGATTGTAAGTTTGTGATTTAAGATTGTATTTTGGATCAAATAAGCATGTTGCATGTGTCCCTTGTTTGAATTTGTATAGTTTGATGTTATGGACTGGAGAATAGTAATTGTATTTTATCATTCTACTAATCGCATGAGAAAATTATTGTTCTTCATTGTCCAATCTTAATGTGCTAGCTTAGATCTCAATCTGTTTAAATTGCCAATGGAATGTTCATTGCATTTTAACAATTTGATGCTATGTGCATGTGACTAGAATGTGCTTACTGTTTATTTGTTTTTAAACTCATTAGTGATGTGTTATACAAAGATGGAGATGTTGTTCTTTCAAAAAGTGAGTTCGAGAGTCTAAATATAAGTTGTAAAGTGAATTCACGACTGATAGACGTGTGGGCAATGATTTTGAACAACAACGAGACTCTAAGAAGCGATGAAGCAAGGAAAAGATTGATTTTCACAACAACACCATGTGTAAGAATTATGGATTTACATATTTGTTTTTATGAATATATTTGAAAGAAATTTATTAAATTAAATTATCTATTTATAGAGAGTGTTGGAGGAAAATCAGTTGACTGCTCCACAAACAAGAAGCAAGAGATTTGTTGATGCTACAAGGGCCCAATTCACCAAGGAAATGCCAAAAGTGAGAAACATGGATTTGTTTATTTTCCCAGTTGAACAAAGTGGAAGATACTACGTGATGACTTTTGGTTTAAAGTACAATAAGTTCTTCATCATTGATAGCTGTGATGTAGAAATATCTATTAAAATGAAGTATCTTTTGCAACCAAACCGTCTGGTAAGTGTGAATATTATTGTTCTTTTAAATGAGTACTGTAGCTATTCACAATGAGCATTATTTCATATTTATTGAGCTTTATTATAAGAAATGTTTATTATAAAAATTGTTTATATTTGCAGAAAAGTGCTGTATTGAAATGGCTTAAAGATGAAAAGCATCCTCAAGCAGACAAAGTCAAAAACATGAAGCCAGAAGTTTTAAAAATGGCATGGCGCAACAAGAATAATAAAGCAAATGAAGGAGTGTACGTGATGAGACTGTGGTCTATTCAAAGATAATGTAAATACACATTAGTTTATGAAGATTTAATGTAATATCAATAGTGTGTCAAAACAACATAAGCTAATACTGACATATTATAATTGTGCAGGAAAAGCCATTAAACATATTGAGGGTCAAGTAGCTGCACAAAATGCTCACATTTCAGGAGAATGAAGTAAGGATGGAGGTGATGGAAAGAGTGAAAGAAAATAAACTGTTGTGAATGTAATCAACAAAAAATCATTTAATGTGCAGTTCTGGTTTAATGGTTTAATCGGGAAAAACATATTTTGTTTGTGTTTAATTACATATTTAGTTTGTGTTTAATGACTTTATGGTGAACTTGAATGTTTGAACTACTACATAATACTATGTTATCTAGAAGATGTGTAATGCTATTGATGACTATTACTGTTGTTTTTTAATTAATCACTATTACTATTACTATTTGGTATATTACTCTTAATCTTGATTGACATTAAACACCGTAGTAATATTGAATGCTGACAGATGCATATGTGAAGTTCTATGGTGATTTCAATTGGTGCTTATACACAAATTTAAGAATTTATGATCATTTTTAATAGGTTCTATGCTCATTTCATTTGTTACTTATACACAATTTTAAGGACTGACCCCTGAAAGTTAAAAGCATTCAGTATGAAAGTAGGTCAACTTATTTTATTATTAAAAAAAAGCTGGGGAGTGTTTTTTCAAAGTATTAGTAAGTTAGGTATAATGGCATTGTGTGAGTAAAAGTGACTAAGAAATGAAATAGCTAATTTTATGTAAAAGTGTCTTTTTGGAAAAATAGTAAATATTTGTGTTAATTGCGAAATGGTAAATATACACAATAATGATGATAAAAAAAGGATGACACCCCATCTCTGAGGGGCCCCCAACCCCGACCGGACGGTACGTTGGGAAGATGTAAATTGGACTATAATCTCAATCTGACAGATAGAGAGTGGAGCTATGTCCCGGTACTTGCAGAGGCCCTATGCATTTTTAGTATAGTAACCCCTCATCGCAGTTGCCGGGATTCGAACCCGGGATCTAACTCTTGTGGCACTCTCTTGCTACCAGTTGAGCTACGCCCACCGGTACACAATAATGATGATTGTATTGTTGAATGGTGACATTGAATTCATGAAGTTTATATTAATAATTATTACTAGTAAAGTGTATACACAATAATTGAGGAAGCTCAGAGGCTATGTGATTCGCTTGGTGTTCGAATGAAACATATTTCAGAGAAATGAATTTAGTTGCTCACAATCTTGCTCAGTTTGGTTTGTCGGTGGGTGTTTTTAGAAACTTTACCTCTTTTAACAACCTACCCTCTGCTATTATTTCTTTACTGGAACTTGACAAATGTGGGATTCCTACCTTTAGAAATTAATCTGTTTTGTTTTTCAAAAAATAAAAGAGAGGTATTGGTTCGGTCACCCTCTCTATTTGTACTTCTCAACGATGATGAATAAACTTTTCTCTCTAAAAAAAAGTGTATGCTCATTAAGTATGAAATTAGGTTAAGAACATTAAGTATGAAATTAGGTTTACTAATTTTCTTATTAAATATCAATTTGGGAAATGTTTTTTCAAGCAATATTCATTTCAATACTCATTTTGTTAACACCTGTTACGCATTATATTAGAAAGAATTACTCAGAAAATATTATATCAGGGGAATGTATGATTCAATAAAAGTAAAAACAAAAACAAACACATAGAGAGAAAAGAACATGTAAAGTCTATAAGTGCACATTACAGAAACTAAAATGATAAGAAAAGGATAAAATATGTTCTTTTTTGAATAATAAAAAAAGTATGTAAACAAAAACAAAGCTTTTAAGAGTGTTTACAATTTTCAGGGTTCAATAAGTGAGGTACTTGGTGCAGTTGACTTTTTCCTTCCTCGGGCTTGATTTGATTTAATCTCAACAATACTTTTGCACCGAACATTTCTTTCACTTTTTTTCCTTGAACTTTTGGGATTAGAAATTGTACCAACTCCAATTGAAGCTGAATCACTGTGTGAGAAGTAAATACTGCCAACTTGTTCTTCAATATCATGTTTCAATTTTTTGAATGACTCTTCACAAAGCAGCCTCGCTGACGCATTAGAATCAATAGAACACAGAAGTTTGTGGAGTTTCCTTTGCATTTTCATTCTCCAAACAGAAGACAAAACATTAGAAGTATTGGATAACATAGATGACTGACTCTGTTCAACTGACTTTGCTATTCGAGTCCAACGTTTTAAAACATAAGAATCAGGAAGAACTTCAACGCAGTGGATATGATATATACGAAGACAATGACAGCACAAAATACCAACTTCTTGAAACCTCTTACATGAACAATCAACAAAATGTGATGTCGTGTTATACGAAACCCAATGTGAAAACTGATCAATATGAGGCATCCAAACTAAATATCGAATAACAGAACCAAAACAATGTTTAACCTCATGTTTCAAAGACATAGCACGGACAAACTCCTTCTCAAAAAGCTTGTAAGCATCAATCGTGTAAATTCGAGAAGCTTTATGTAATATACCAAGATGTGGGATTGATATCTCGGGGAAGCCATCCCAACAACGATGTTGATCTGATCTCTCATTACTCCGCCATTCACTAACAACTTCACAAAAAAGTGATAGAAATCACAAAGAGAAGATGTTGCATTCAACTTTCTAGACAAAGAATTATTCGTTGACTTGCTTCTTTGTGATGATAAAATGCCAGCAGAAAAGTAATCTTTTGAAAATGATGGACACCATTTCTCCCTAAGTCCATATAGTTTCTTCAACCATGCATTTTCAGAACAATTGAAAGTAGTGACCATCCTGCAAAAATTAAAAGCAAAAAGAACAATAGTTTACTCATCACAATTAAGCCATTACTCATTTGTAAACAATTGATAGTGTAAATAATAAATTAATTAAAAAGAAAGAAAACAAGTGCAGTAATAGATGATACTTGTTCCAATAATAGTCAAACTCAGAAACTGTATGACAAAGTTTCAAAACATGATCAAATAAGTCCAAAAAGCCTTCGTCATTCCTCAAGTCTCGTATATGTTTTTTAGAGTTTTCAATGATGTGTCATATGCAAAGACGGTGTTTTGAACTAGGAAAGACCTTACATATAGCAACAGCCATGGATGCAGACTGATCTGTCATAATGGTTTTTGGATGAACTGAATCCATTGAAGTCAAAAACGTGGTAAAGAGCCATTCAAAGGATTCAATGCGTTCATTCAACAAAAACCCACAACCGAACATACAGTTATGCGTATGATTGTTAATACCTACAAAAGGACCACAAATCATATCGTACTTATTTGTACGATATGTAGTATCGTGAACAACCAACTCTCCAAAAGAAGCTAACTAAAGAACCATCAGCATCAACTTCTAAAGAAAAAAAGTCTTCTTCATTTGTTTGTATGTTCCTAAAGATACTAATCAAAGTATTTGCATCACAACCTTCAAAACTTTTTTTTGTTTTTTTTCAATTCATTGTAGACATCGCGCAGCACGAAACCAATTGAAGGAGATCCACCTACTTCAGCTTGTAAACAGCGGAAACCGTCAGCTGTTTTTACGCCTCTATTTCTCAAATGATTCAAATATGTCAATTCAGAAGAAGAAACATCACGATGAGACCTCACGTGATGAACTAAAGAACCAGGACAGAAAGAGTGATTGTGATCCATAAGATGTCTAACTACAACCCATTCACCATTGCTTCTAAACTCAAAATAAATTTTTGCTTTGCAACCTGTACGACGATCAACTTTGGTGAATACCTTACCATGTACACCTTTATTTTTCTTAGAACCTTGTTTAGTGCAACAAAATTCTCTACCTCTAACATCACATCAACCTTCTTTCTTCCGTAGAGTAGAATAACGAACGCCAAAGCCAATCCTAAAAGCATACTCATTATACAAATCAAAAGCTTCTTTCTCTGACATAACAGTTTTTTCAAGAAGCTCAGAAACTTCAGCTTCTTTAACTAAAAGGGAAGAATCAGATTGTGGTATAGAATCAAAACTGCTAGAAGAATGGTTAGCTGCAAAGAAACAAAAGTTGAAGCTAAAATAAAATGATCTGGATCAAGGGAAAAGGGGACAAAAAGTAAAAAGGTGTAAATAAAATTAGAACAAAGAAAAAGATAATAACACAAAACCAAAGGAATTACCTGAATCAAATTTAAGTATTTCGCCTCTCGATTCAATGTCTTGAATTAACTGTCCAGTAAAAGCAATTTCATCTGGAAAAGGATAAAACAAATACATAGACTAAATGCTCATCAAAAAGTTAAATTAAAATACCATAATGTTTTATCAGCTAATCATACTAATATAGTGAGTCGCTACAGAAATACCTGAAAAAGTAGACATAACTACTAAAGCTAAACCTGCAATAAATAAAAAACGAGTACATAACTTCGAAGAGCAAATTCGAAGAGAACAGATAAAAATCTGTAACGAAAAAGAGATAAATAAGATTAGATTGTTGCGTACTGGGAGACAATGAAAACTTCGAAGAGCAAATTCGAAGAGCACAGATGAAAGCTTCGAACAAAGATGATCAATTGTTACGTAATCAGAGATGATTAATAGGAGACATGAACGGGAGACGATGACTGGAAAAAAAAAAGAAACTTAATAAAAGGTATTACAAGGCACCTCAAAGTTGATAAGATTTACAAAATAAGCTGCAGGTACAGAATATTTCAAGGCACCCTTGTGTACCGTATAAATTGCGTCCCAAACCCGTCTTACTACTACGTACGGAGTATTTCAATTGCAGCAGTGGGTTTACTTTTCCAGGAGATATTGCCGTGTTGGTGCTATTTCTTGGTCTTGAAAACTGTAGCTGCCAATTCCCATCACATGGTCTCCAACGGAATGAAAATGAAAGTGGAACTATATAGAAAGCAAATAAAAGGTGAAAAAAGAAACAGTTGGAAAAAAGAGAGGTAAAGAAGAAAGGAAAACTTTACCAAACAGAAGAAAGTGCAAGCTGGATTATATTCCACTGGATTCTGCTCCCACTTCCTCAACTATGATTTGAAATCACACTCACAAGCCAAACAAGGTCAGTGGTCTAGCTACCTATTCACTATTTCTATTTCAGGGATTTTGGTTGTTCTGGTGGAGATCTTGGTGATCATTACTGGTTTTGACCTTTCTGGGTTTTCTATCATCGTTTGGATCTTGATAAAGCTTTGGTTTTTTGCAGTAACAATATATCCCAAGGTCCTGTTTGGTAAAGGTTGCATTTTTCAGGTACACCAAGATTGGGGCTTTAATATTTGCCTTGTGGGTGTGTGAAAAAATTGGATCTTGATCCTTAGGGTTGTCTTTGTTAGTGAATTCTTGCAATTTAGGGTCGTTTTTCGTTTTCTCTTTTTGCTCATTTTTCCTCTCAAGGGTAAAATAGAACTAGCTAGAGACAGTATAGACACCATCTGGCTACTGTGGAGATCTGGGAGTTGCTTCATCTGTTATGTCCCATGAGGAACTTCTTCCCTTCAGATTCCTGCAGAGATTCTCAGCTAAAAGCCATCAATCCACAATCATGGCTCCAAGTTGAGAGGGGCAAACTTCCGAAATTCTCCTCCCGTTCTTCTTACTCTTCAATGTAAGCAAAAAAGATCGAATTTTTTCTTGATATGTTTTTATTTTAGATGGTGTCCAATTTAACATAATGATCCAATGATTATTTATTTATTATGTCTTCGTTTGCAGAGACTCATTAATCAAGGTTCCTCAACCTCCTATTTTACCACACTTCAAACCTGTTGACTATGTAGAGGTTTTATCCCAAATTCATGAAGAACTCGAGACGTGCCCTCCAACCAAACGGTCATATCTCTATCTGCTTCAGTTTCAGGTCTTTAAGGGTCTTGGGGAAGTCAAATTGATGCAGAGAAGCCTCCGTGCTGCTTTCTTGAAAGCCGAAACTGTATATGATAAGCTAATCTTTGGGGCTTGGTTGAAGTATGAAAAGCAAGCCGAAGATTTTGTTTTGGACTTGCTTGAATCTTGTGGTAAATGTGCAAAGGAGTTGTTCGGGGTTATAGATATAGCTTCTGAGATAGCACCTGTATATATAGCTTCTTCCTATGTAGATTCTACTTTTTCTAGAACTGTTACATTTCAAATCGGGCGTGAAAAAATAGTATGTGACAGGAAAAAGATTGCTACCCTTTCATCCCCTTTCCAAGCCATGCTTAATGGTTGTTTTAAAGAATCCTTTTGTGATGAAATAGATTTGTCAGAAAATGACATTTCTGCAATGGGATTCAGGCTGATAAGTAAATTTACCATAAAGGGCACACTGGACGAAGGAGTGTCATCTGACCTTTTGTTAGAAATTTTGGTGTTTTCCAACAAGTTCTGTTGTGAAACTCTCAAGGATGCGTGTGATAGGAGACTGTCTTCTCTGGTATCTTCTACAATGGACGCTGTTGATCTAATTGAATGTGCCCTTCAGGAGGATGCCCCTGTCCTTGCCGCCTCGTGCTTGCAGGCCATCCTGCGAGACCTTCCCCGCTCTTTGAACGATAGTCGGGTGGTTGAACTGCTAAGCAATGTTAAAAGTCAACAAAGGTCAACTTTGGTCGGTGAGTCCGCCTTTTCCCTTTACTGTTTTCTAAGTGAAGTGGCAATGAGTACTGACCAATTGGAAATGGGTGCCTATTTCTTGGAACGGATGGTCGATTCCTCAGAAAACAACCAACAGAAGATGGTGGCTTGTCATCAATTGGGATGTGTTAAATTCCTTAGAAAAGAGTATGATGATGCTGAGGTTCACTTCCAGGCCGCGTTTGACGCGGGGCATACTTACTCCATTGTTGGTTTGGCTAGAGTAATGAGTCACATCAAGGGTCATAAAAGATTGGCATTTGAGAAATTAAGTTCTATAATTTCTTCCATGAATGCCCTTGGATGGATGTACCAAGAGAGGTCATTGCATTGCGAAGGAGACACGAGCTGGGATGATTTGGAGAGAGCGACTGAATTGGACCCCACGCTGACTTACCCGTACATGTCCCGAGCAGCTTCGTTCATGAGAAGAAAAAATTCCCAGAGTGCCCTTGCAGAAATTAACCGGATTCTCGGATTCAAACAAGCTTTGGAGTGTTTAGAGCTCCGGTTTTGTTTCTACCTCGCCATAGAAGACTACCAATCAGCCATGTGTGATGTTCAAGCAATCCTCACTCTATGTCCGGAGTATAGGATGTTTGATGGGCGGGTCCCGGCATTGCAACTCCGTACACTCGTGAGGGAGCATGTTGAGAACTGGACAGAAGCTGACTGTTGGATGCAATTGTATGAACGATGGTCGTCTGTCGATGATATTGGGTCCCTTTCGGTAATATATCAGATGCTCGAGTCAGATTCGCCAAAAGGTGTTCTCTACTTCAGACAATCTCTTCTCTTACTCAGGTAATTATTAATTCACGAAATAATGAGAAACATGTGACTAAAATGAAAGCGATGGACAAATTAAAATGAATTTCAATGCTATGGTAGTAATAATGTCCAAAAAGATCATTTTAACTGTTTTTTTTTTTGTTTTATCAGATTAAATTGCCCAGAAGCAGCCATGAGAAGTTTAGAGCTGGCTCGCCAGCATGCATCTAGTGAACATGAACGCCTGGTTTATGAGGGGTGGATCTTATATGATTCTGGTCATTGTGAAGAAGGCCTAAGAAAGGCAGATGAATCTATACGCATCAAGAGATCTTTTGAAGCATTTTTCTTGAAAGCCTATGCATTGGCTGATTCCTGTCTTGATCCGTCTTGTTCATCAACTGTCATATCACTGCTTGAAGAAGCTTTGAGGTGCCCTTCAGATAGGCTTCGCAAAGGTCAGGTATATAATTCTTCTGCCCCTATAAATCTCCTGCATGTGTTCACTGTTTCATAACACTTAGGGTTAGAGATTTTGCTCAAAGGATGTGTTTCAGATGGGAAAGAAACTCTCTCTGAAACATTTCGGGCTATTCCGTAAATATATAAATGTTTTGTGATGGTTTTGTATAGTATATATTCGTATAGTTTGTATCTCAGTGATACAAACTATATTCTTTGAAACCCATTTTTTTGTCATGTCACATTTGTATCTCAGTGAGCAAATTGCAATTTGGGTATTCTACGGTTCTACCTCAGTTGTTTACTGATTTTGAGTTTAGTGTATACAAATGTGAGGTACATCATGTAGTATATAAGTGTGTGATAAACACTCTTCTTGTTAAGCTTATGGAGTGAGATACACCTAATTTAACATGATACTTTTGTGTTATTGTATTGAATTTGGATAGGCACTAAACAATCTTGGTAGTGTCTATGTTGATTGTGAGAATCTAGAGGCTGCAGCTGATTGCTATATGAATGCCCTTGAAATTCGACACACCCGGGCCCACCAAGGTCTTGCTCGGGTCCACTTCTTGAAAAATGACAAGACTGCTGCATACAATGAGATGACCAAACTGATTGAGAATGCTAAGAGTAATGCATCTGCCTACGAGAAGAGGTCGGAGTACTGTGAAAGAGAGCTCACAAAGGCAGATCTTGAGATGGTCACTCGTTTGGATCCTCTACGGGTTTACCCATACAGATACCGGGCTGCAGGTAAGAAACGTTGGCCTTGTTTGGAATGATTTGGGTATTGGAATTGATTACTGAAAACTATGTACAGTAGAAACGTGTTTGGAATGATGTGAATTCACTTCTGATATTTGCGGCTGCATGTGATACTTCCCAGCTTCAGGAATTGAGAATCCCCGTGATAGGGAATCCTCAAGAACTTTGATTCAAAATGTTGGTACGCATGACAGCTTGTTTCAATTATCACAAGAGGCATAAAAAAATTTGTAGGCTTCTTGTTGTGTCTTTGAGAGTGTGATACTCTTGTGATCACCCTGCTTCCAGCCATAGTATGCGGGTTACAAATTAACTGGACCCGTCGTGCTTAGAAGTCAAGCACTTCAAGAGACTTGACAAGTATTGTCTCACTATTTACCTTATCCACCAGTGCTTCAAGGACAAGTAGGGCACTAGAGCCCTCAGGTTTGACTGTTTGAGGGACAAAGTTTTTATTATAGCGCTCCCTCAATTAAAATACTGAGTGATAGTGATTTTGCACGGGATTAAAAAAGTGGAATTTGTGCGGCCAAAAGCCGTGCAGAGGAGAGAGAATATGAACGACAGATTCTTTACCATAAAGGAAAAAGGAGTTTATATTGGGATGGACTAAAAAGGAAAGAATGAAGTTTATTTTGGGACCAAGGGGGTAATAGTGATTATAATTTTAATTATGATAATGATAATAACAATAATAATAGTCGTAATAATAATTATATTGTAAGTAATGGATGTGGATTTGGGCAGTGTTGATGGACAACCGAAAGGAGAAGGAAGCAATTAGTGAACTGACAAGGGCGATTGCTTTCAAAGCGGATCTCCACCTTTTACACCTCAGAGCCGCATTCCACGAGCACATTGGTGACGTTACAGGTGCACTACGAGACTGTCGGGCGGCTCTCTCGGTTGACCCAAATCATCAAGAAATGCTGGAACTTCATAGCCGTGTAAACACTCAGGAACCTTGAAGGAAGAAAACGTCCACCCCGTCAAGTTGGGGGAGGATGGATGAGCAGTAGATTCTTTGTTGAATTATCTCCGTTTCAATAACAAAATTTTGTTCTGTTGTAATGTAGGAGTATCATGCTTTCCCCCTTTTGGGTTTCTTTTTGTGAATATGAGTTCTAGATTAATGCAACACCAATTTTTATAAGGCATCATCAATATTGTGAAGAGCCATATTTTCCTTTACTTGTTTATTCTCATGGTCCACTTCACATGCATCTTTTCCTTCATTTGTTTTTCAGCATTTGCGGCTGATTGACTTGATCCCTTCTTTATTTTATTCTCTCAAATGGGTGTCTAATAACTAGTTGTAAGGAGTACTATCATTTAAGAAAAATTCAACATGAGTTGTACACAAAGTGTACACAAAATCTCCTAGTTGTCTGTGTGTACATGCAATTCATTTGAAAAGGGACATGATTTGATGTCAAACCCCTTAGTTGCCTGTGGACACAGTTACACAGGGCAATGTACAATTTGTGTTTGTGTACACCAAGAATGACTCATCATTTAAGGCCTAGTAACTAGTGGTAACTTGTAAGGAATACTACCTAAGTACGTATTACTCTCTCCGTCCCATTTTAGTTAGCCAAACTTGACTTTTCAAGTCAATGGCTTCTAACTTTTACCGATTATATGTTTATGTAGAGAAAATATTCATAATATGAAAATGATATGAAAATGTTCTTTGTTAAAAATACAATCATAAAAGTATAAATTTATTAAATTTTGCATAAATACATTAGTTAGAATATTTGGTCAAATTTTATCATCTTTGACTAGAAATGTCAAAGATGACTAACTAAATTGGGACGGAGGTAATATCTAAAATAGCTGAGGTGTTTTTGGAAGTGGAATACAAATTAACATGTTCGAAACACACTACAAATGTCAAATAAGTAATAATGAATATCAAAATAGTCGGAATGGTTTTAAATTTATAATAGTGGAAATATGGAAATAAACATTAAAGAAAAACTTATCAACATGGTCTTGAAAAGCAGTCATGCACGACTATTTGCTAAGGTCATCTCAAACAGTTAACACCATTTTTTACACTAAAATGGTGTAAACATCACATCAAACGGTATTTTATCTCCAACGGTTTACACCATTTTCATCACCAAAAAGGAATACTCTTTTTATTCTTTTTACTAACTTTTTACCATTATTCTATTTAAGTATCTAACTATCTTATATTTATACATTAGCCCCTCATTTAATATTTTGACATTTCACACATTATTTCACACATACAAACTAAAATACATCATTTTAATATGTATTTTCACGCATTTCACTAATTAAAACACAATAATCGATATTTCACAAATACAAGCTAAAACCACATAAAAGTAAACATTACAATATTATTATAATAATTTGTACGTCTTTAAATAATTAGTAAAGTACTATTTAAACTTAAAGCAATAGATTAAATAAATATTCTTAGTTTAGTTATCAGAATTTGAGAATTGTTCCCACAAATGATCAATTAAAGCATTGCGTACTATGTATGTTTTTAATTATGTTTTAATGATTACCAATTTCTAAATTAGTATCTCCTATGTATGTTTTTAATTATGTTTTAATTTTTATTATAATGGTGTTATTAATTGTAATTTTAATTATGTTATTTTCTTAAGTACCATTTGTTTTCTGTTATTAGATTGTTTGGATTTGAAACTTTATTTATAATATTGTGTGATTTAAATGTTATTATATTTTTTTATCAAATTAATTGTTTTTATTGTTGTTGTATAAGGATGTTTTTACTTTGACTGTAATTTGTTTCAGATAAGATCAGACCGGATTAGACCAAACTTGGGTAGTTATAAAAATACAAAGAAATCAGACCAGACCACATCAATTCAGACAAGACCAGACCAAATCAGACCGGACCAACAAATTTCAGTCCAAGTAAAACTTCCTAATTTGTTATTTTAAAAATGAGTCAAAACTATAATAATCAAAATTTTGGGTCACATTTGAAAGAAAAAAAATTACAAAAAGAGAATGGTGCTACAAATGGCGTACGCCATATATAGCGTAAAGCCTTCCCCCCTCCCCCATTTTGGTGTAATGGTGTAAAGTTTAGTGTCATTGTTGGAGCATTTTTTTGCCAAATACACCATTTTGGTGTTGAAGATGGTGCTGGTTGGAGATGACCTAACTAGATAGAAACAATCTGACTTCTTTTTCCACAATAATCTTCAATGGTAGTTTATAAGTAAGACTTCACAGTCTATAGCTACAGACGGGGTTGTGGCAAAAATTATAGTTATGTTTAGTTCATAAATCAAAAGCAAAAATCAATATAAAAAGTAATTTTTGTGTGTGAGATTATTATGCTATCCAACTTGTTAACCATAATCCTTAGCTACCATACGGACCATAAATGAGACCCATCCAAACAATAATTCTATCATATTTTCAACAATATCCCGCAAATCCATAATTAAGAGATAGTGTGCTTTAAAAATAGTACCTTACGGGTTGAACTATTTTATAAGTTATCAAACTATACTCCCAAGTCCCATGAGAATGAGGAAACATAGCCTTTGACCTGAAATCATGAATAGTGTTATGCGGTATGGCATTACACTATCTTCTATGAAAAAAATCTTTATAGTCGACAAATTATGATTGTGCACCATACCTTAATCATATCTCAAGAATATTGTCAAGAATCAACTCATACGCTCTTATTTGCGCTCAAACAATAACATTCTCATATCTGGGGTATCTTCTAAAAGTACATTACTAACACTAATATTAAAGTTCCTAATCTTTGAGAGTCTTATATTCTGAATTCATCAATATAAGCATCTTTCAAGTTTATCAACAAATAAACACAAACATAAAATGTATTTTTATGGTAAATTCTCTTTGCAGTTTGCTCATACCATGTTCAACCTACTTTGCGGCAATTAAATCTTCACTCAGATAGTTGGATGTCCAATTGTCCACTGTAGAAGACCCAACCTTGACTTTTAGTCCTATTCGAAAAGTGACTTTGCATAGATCAAATTGTTTTCCTTAAAAGATACGTAGTATGATGTATTCTTTGGATCGAATAAATTCAATAACAAACACTCCTTGAGAAACAAATTTCTTTATAATCTTCGCTAGCTATAATTAGAATGTGTCTTCTAATTTTTTGTTAAATTTGGTATTCTTAATTTTGACAATTATGCTCATAATGTCACAGTGTAAACAAATATGTGGAATCAACATGATGATCGTAGGTAATATGTGGAATCAACATGATGATCGTAGGTAAGTCGGCACTGGTAACATAAAACACTTTCCCATGATCCCCTTGGTAATCGGAGCACATAACTCGACCTCCAACATGGACCAAGAAAGTATAATCTATCTGTTTGATTAATTTTTTGTCTCCAAAGCTACCAATTAGTCAAGAATATTTTAACTGAATATTATGCAAAGCTACTAAATCACCATATGGTGTTTTAGCAATCCTCTTATTAACTGCAATGAGTGGTCATATACTACCTCCGCTCCCTAAGTTTGATACACAAAGAAGAGGTGCAGTTATTACAAAAAGCGAGTTTATGTGGTTGATGTTTAGTTGATAAAGTAAATATAAAGTAAGAATGAGATAAAACCTACAAACATTACCAAATTTTGTATGAAATAGATCGAAAACATAAAGATGAAACAATCTTAACAGAGCGAAAGGTGTATATTGTTTCCATAAGTTTGTATTACTAATATCTTAAACTTGAATATAATGTAGTGATTCCTTAAGTAATTTTAATGAAAAGATTTATTTAAAATATTAGTTGTAGAATAGAAGTTGCTCGACATAAAATGTTCAGTGCAATTGAAGATTCATTCCGCTAAAATTATATCATCTTTCCTTTTGGATCCGTTTCACTAAGATTGTCTCAAATCAAATTTGGTGATGTTTGTGTGATTCTAATTCATTCTAACTTTATTTTACTTTATCAATTCAATATCAATCACATAAATTCATTTTTCTTAGTAAGCGCGCCATTTCCTCATATCATAATGCATGTGGGCCGGGGTAGTATTTGAGAACTTTTCAATTTATATTAGCCATATGCCCATTTTATCATTTAAATCTACTCATTTGATTCATCCGAATGTAGAATATATTACCTCCATTTCACTTTATAGAACATAAATTTAATGGAGTCAAAGATGAACATGGGTTGGAGCGAGTTTTGCCCGTTTTAGATATGGTTAGTTTAGTGGCGTAGCTAGCTAGGGATGCTATGCAAGGCCCTCGACCCTGACTCAAGTTGTGGGCTTGGACTCACGGGTTCAAGTTCAGGGATTGGACCGATTAGGCTTTGGATCTAGTCCTATAACTCCATCAATATTATTATGAATTCAATACCACTATGGTGTTTCTCAAAATATGAAAAATTAGTCATGTATGCTGATCGGGCTAAACTTGCAAGTATACATGTACTGATATAGTAATAAAATACCGGTAAATACCGAGTCGATCCACAGGGAAATGGTTGATATTATAAAGTTGAGTATTGAGTGCAAAGAATATAAACGATATAACTTTTTCAGGAACTTTGTTCTTTGAGATTGATTTAAACAAGAATGAGAATTACTAAGGCAATCGTGATTCACCTAAATACTTTAATAGGATGTAATACCAGTTCTTTCCGAATAATTATGAATACGATACAACAACAACAACAACATCCAAGCTTTAATCCCAAAAGAATTTGGGATCGGCTAACATGAATCGATCTATGATATCGGTGCCGAACAGAGAAGATGGACAAGAAAGGGAAGAAAAAAAGTAAGATAAAACGAATAAAATAAAAATAAATAAATATAAGATAACAATAACACAAGAATATAAGAAAGATACAACAACAACAACATCCAAGACTTAATCCCAAAAGAATTTGGGGTCGGCTAACATGAATCGATCAATGATATCGATGCCAAACAGAGAAGACGGACAAGAAAGGAAAGGGAAAAAAGTAAGATCAAATGAATAAGATAAAGATAAATAAATATAAGATAACAATAACACACGAATATATGAAAGATAAAAGATAAAAAAGAGCATAAAAAACTGGAATATAAAAATAACATAAGAATATACAAACATAAAGAAGATAAACTGTGACACCGTCCCCAAGCATGTTTACTTTTAGTAAATTATGTAATAAACCTTGAAGGATGAGTTATGAATT